AAGGAGTGGTGATGCACATTTACCTGTATAGGGGGATATATGTTATCTGTTTATGAACTATGACAGTGCACTTTATATCAGTTGAGGTTGGTACATACCAATTAGTGTGAAGTTAATCTCTTTCCAGGCTACTTCAATGATAGCAATTGCAATGTAAATTTCCCAATCAAGTGTAAAATATTGTATCGGTTTCATCAAGTTTAATGTTATTGCAAAAGGAAAATCTGTCTATCTGTAGTGGGGTAAAGTCAAAAATAATGAGGCAAAAATTTGAAAATAGGGTCAAAATTGAAATTTCATATTTCTACTTATTTTTCACCTAAAACCATGTGATATTGATTGATGTTTAATGCCGAGTAATTGGATTTTATCTAACACAACACAAATTGTATAAATCAACATTTTATTTCAACTTATTAACAAAAATTAACAAAACCAATGCTTTATAAAATTGTGTCACTATACTTCCCAATGTTAATTAAATCATATGTGTTGTTATATTTTAGTAACAGTAGTGATGTACGGATAAAAAATATACCATTTTTTTACCAGTAGTTTTACAACAGAAAAAAAAAATGCTATTGTTTTGTTACTAAAGTCTGATTTTCTTTAATGTAAGAACATCAAGTTTTTCTAAAGTTGGAGAAAATTGGGCAGAGAAATAAAAAAGTAGTTGTTAGTATGTATTAATAGTTACTTTGATGTAAAATAAAGTTTCCAAATATTTCAACCTCTCAAAAAAAAATAATAAGCAGTCAAATTTAACTTGTATTTTATAAAAAAAGCGTTACACTCCTGACATGACTAGCATAACTTGTTTAAATGATAATAGTTCTTTACAGAAGCATTGGAGGTAAAAATTACATAAGAAACACATGTACAGAACAACACTGATGTTTGAAAACATACTGATAGGTTATTACATTTGAGAACAATTCTTAGAGCAAAGATATGAAGTTACACTTAAAACCGCAAACAAGTTTCTAACATGTAAACAATTAGCAAAAAAATGGAAATAAAGGTTATAAACATTAATTAAGCTTCTGTTCCTAACCAATTGAATAGGAAAATATCAAAATGACCATGAAGAATCTATTTCACAAAAAAATGCATAATTTCACTTTAACATTTGAGTGTTACACTCCTGACACATTCAGACAAGAGACTTAATATCTTTAAATATTGATTTAAAATATTTTTTAATGAAATACTTAAGACAAGTATAAGTTTTCTATATTAATTGTTCCTTTTTGTTTATCTTGCCTTTTTAAAAACACTTTGTTAAAAAATAAGTGACCTTTTTCAAACCTTTTCTATATATATGTGAACCATCTGAGTGTAAACATTTTCTTTTTTATATATGTTCTACTTGCTTTCTACCCCTGGTAGAAAACCATACTGGTTTAAGAGAACATTTTTTTAAATAAAAAGATAGAAAGAAGCTACAAATTTAAACTACATAAAGTACAAACATTAACATTAATAACTGTTCAAACTGTGTTACACTCCTGACACAAGATGTGCACTTGGAACTGTTTATTTGAAAATATATGATTTCTATGATCTTAAGTCATTCAAGTTAAAAATTGAAGCGGTATTCCGCGCCCAGGAAGAAGAATTGTCATTTTGAGTGTCTGAACAATATCTTCAAAGGACTGCCGGGACACATCCTCCTTGGCTGGCCAACTGTACTCGTCAGCACCTCCGCTTGCTTTAAGGAACCTAACTTGGATGTCATCATCTGCCTGTGATATTACCTATTCAATAAGTAGTTAATATAATTAAATGAAAAGAAAACAATCACATTTCAAGTTCTAAAATTAGGTCATAAAATTACTGAGGAAACTAATGAAAAGTATACAAAAAACAACATGACCCAGCAATGTACAGATATGTTCTTCTGTTTGACTTGAGAGCTACAGCTACAAAATCTTCAGGGTTAAATCTGCAATATGATAATTAAAAGGTTTATACTAACTGTGTCTTTAAAAGATACATTTCTATAATTATTGGTTGAAATTCATCTGACAAAGAACAGAAACATGCTTAATTTATCCTTCTATATAAGATATTTATTTTGTCTTACCTATTTAAACGCTGCAAGCTAACATAATGTTCAATTTCTGGAATGTTACCATCAACAATGTTGGTATGGAACTGTCTCCATCTCCAATGGTTATGTTAGGAGTATCCCCATGAACACATTTATCTTGCAAGACAGGGCTTTGCACATATTCTGTAAACACACATGGTCTGTATAGGCTCCATTCTTTGACATATTTTCAATATATTTGGTTAAGTCACTTGCCAAGATTTGCTCTAATTCCAATTTGTCAGTCTGAAAAATAAAATTGTAAATTGTATTTTTTTTATTAAACCTATGATTTAAAGATATAAAATTACAAGTTTTTTAAATAAAAAAATTAATAATTAAATGAATTTCAGGCATGACTTTAAAACTAAGCTTGATAAATACCTCTGGTAAGCTTTGCATGTGATGAATTACTTTGCTTCTCAACTGAGTGTGACTTTGTTGAGTCATCCCAAGGGCATGTAACTGATCACTGCTGGCCCAAAAGAAACAATTGCCGTCATCAGGAGTAGTACCTGGAATCTTCCAACCTTTTCTGCGAATTTTATTTTCAAACTCGCTTAGAGTTTCATTTTTATGCTCTGTTGAGTAGTTATATATATAAGACTCAATGCTGTCTGTAAGCATACCTCTCAGGTTAGTCTCTCTCTCACAATTGTTAGTATTACTAGCTACTACTTTATTAAGGTTAGGTATTAAGCAAAAGCAGAGCAAAAATGCAGTGTTTTGGCAGAATTCAAATGGTTAGTATTTTAAAAGACTAAGGACTACAATAACTGAAAATTGAATATGTAGGAACTGCATTCAAAAAATGAGATAACAAAAATGATTGCAGAATTAACAGTAATTATCATAGATGAAAAAAAATTACTGTATGTCTTTATTGTTATTGACTTGGTTACTGTTTAGAAATAATATCAAATCTCATCATACTAATTGGCATATATATTTGCTTACATGTATTGAGTTTTATAGTGTTTTTTTGATATCTACTTCAATTGTTTATTAGTCTGCTGAAAATAAAACAAAGTTAACTACAATTGCCGAAAAAGAAAAAAGTGTCAGGAGTGTAACACTTTTCACTATTCTCACATACTGTATTTTACTTATATTGCATACTTAATCTTCAGTAATTGTATATAAATGCTTTGTTCTGCAAAGAGTATATACATGATTTTAATTTCTCAGTAATTTCTTTAGTGTATTATCATTAAATTTCAATGATTATACTTGTCAATAGTAGACATTTAGGAAATTTTGATGTTATTTAAGTAAATATACTAAAAACAGAACTTAAGCATTGTGGTTTCTTAAAAAAAAACAAAAAAACAAATACTTAATTACTTTTCCTTATGAATAGTGGCAAGAATCATATTTAGATACGAAATTTATATGGTATATTCATGAAATTGTTACAAGGTTAAAAGATGGCAAAAATAGTGTTACACTCCTGACATCACTGATGATCATGTACAGAAAGTGCATGATTTAGTTAACTTGAAATAATGTCACTGCTGACATCACTTGGACTCAAGTTTTTGAAAAAGAAAGAATATATTAATAAAACACCTTATATGCAATAAGGAAATCAGTAAAAGTACAAGATGTTACACTCCTGACACTGAGCACTGTCATTATTTTGAATCGAAACCGAGTCAATAACATTTATAGCATAGAAAAAAGAGAATTCATATTCTTAACTATATACAATGGTCAAAATGTTAGAAGCAAGGAAAAGCTGTTAATAACAAATATATCAGCAGAAACTTTACTGTTAGTACAAACCATGCTTTTTTTAAAGTACATTTTATTTTACAACGACTGACTTTAGTGACTGGATAACTAAGTGGGATACCTACATTTTACAAAAAAAATAAGAAAAAGCAATTGCGAGAGCATAAGATATATAACATAAGTGACAAAAATTGTCATTTAAGAAACTGTTTTTCTGTATCAGGAATAGAGAATCATCATTTGCGTAAAATGTCACACTAAAAGTGTTACACTCCTGACATTTTAGGGTAGTTTTTTTCTTGTATCTTTTTCACTTGTAGCGTGATGTCCCTGAAACTTGGCATATTTTACAACACTGATAGATGCTATATTTAGCACTTATAACAATATACACAACTATTAAAATATTAATCTGGGTAGCCTTTAAATGTTTGGCCTCATTATTTTTGACTTTACCCAGTGAAAGGTTGCATTTTTAAGGTTCATGACAGACATTTTATACATTCATATTCAGTGTTTTTTTTTTCACCAAAATATTCGGCGAAATTCTCCCTATTCCCCCCTCAAAATAGTATGTTTTTTTCCCCCCTCAAAGCTGAAATTTCCCCCTATAATATGGCAGCCCAAATCTGCCTGCAATGAATATCATTTTTTTGCAACTAACTGCCGAAAAATGCTTTATTTTATGCCTGTAAGACTTACTGTTAAGCAAGGTTTTTCATATAGGTAAGGGGAGCTACTCCTGGTATCCCAACAAGTTTATCATGTGACACATCAATATTTTAGATCCGTATAAAAATCCCCTTCCTATTGCATTTTTCCCCCTCCAATGGGCACCGACCCCCTTCCCCCAAAAGTGAAAAAAAACACTGATATTTTATTTATGCAAGACATAAATAATTGTGAAAACTTAGCTGAACGCCTTGTTGAGAAATGTTGCCATAATTTTTTGAGTTTGCTGTCCCTTTTTATGGTACATATACTTTTATGTTAGATGTTTTTGAATGACTTATTGTGTGTTTATTATTTACTCATTATTTTTAGTTTTACCTTCACAAAAATGTATGTCCTATGCTGAAATATTAACAAGTTTTACCTAGCATGATTTTTATGATAGATTTGTGTATAAAATTGTAGCGCTAGCATATTCATGTGTGTTTTTTCTTTCTTTCAGCCATGTTACTCAGCAGACGACGTGGCAGGATCCACGCAAGCCAAATTTTAACATTAACAAGAGTAACGTGCCCCTTGGCCAACAAACTCCCCCAAATGTGTCACCCAATGTTTCTCTGCAGAATCTTCACCAGTTACAAGGCCTTCAAAATATGCAGCTACCCGAGGGCTGGGAACAAGCCGTAACACCGGAGGGAGAGATGTACTTTATAAACCACAATGAACGAACTACAAGTTGGTTCGATCCAAGATTACGTAAGTTTGTGTATTCATTGCTTTTGTGATTTAAACTGTTCCAAACTCTAGTAGTGAGAATATAAGCAAATTTTCTTCTAAGCTGGAACATTTTGAAGAAAAAGGCGTCTTTCTAAAGTCATTTTAGGTTTTTCAGTTTACCAATTCTAAAAATACTTACTTTAGACCTTCACACCTATTCTAGGCAAGAATACTTAACTTTTGCCATCAGATTGAATAAACTGTTTTACTCTGCTCTTTTTGATCTTATCCTAAACATTATTTTCACTGATTGTTGATATTTATTTGTTTGTCTCAAATGTTAGAGATATTCATTGGTCATTGTACAATCTGTGTCGTCTGTTTCTGGACAGTCATATACCAGAAATTGTTCAAATATAATTTAAAACATTCATTTATAACCCTTGACCCAGAACATCTTTTAAAAGTCGTACTGAGATTCCCAATATTGAAATGACCTATTTATGGAAATCACTTTCCTGTGTGTTGAAAGTTTCAAATAGTTTTCATTGATCATTATACACCAATTCAGTCATGCATGTAATTAGACAGAAATTTATATCCGCATTAAAAGTATGTTGTATCATCATTTTGACATTATATTTAGAATAACGGGGGGAAATGAAGTCTTGAAATATTATATGAAATAAAGTTACTTCAGCGGAATAATTTTGTTGATCTTATTATCAATATAGATTGTTTTTTTAGCTCACCTGAGTACAGACAGGGCATTGTGAAATTTATGCATGTCATTTGTTTTAATCAACATCTAAGTTTAAACCACATCAAATTTTAAATTATGATGAAATAGAATGGGGATGATCTTTGGATTGTCCTTTACCAAAACAGATTACTATTGTACCCTGTCTGCAAACGGAGTTGATAATAGAAAAACAGATTCTTGATAGATGTTACCATCTTGTTATAGATTTTTTTGTGTAGGTTGTTAAGATTGCTTTAACATAAATTCTCATGGAGCCCCTATTTTGTAGTTGAATCATTTGTCTCTGCTAGTGTTATGAATGCATTAACAAATGATTTGAAAGTAATTGTTGTCTTTTTGTGTTTTAAAGTAGCACAGTTTCAACATTTTCCCTATTCATTTTAGCTATGCATATGCAACGATTGAATGTGCGACCAGGGTCAGTACATCCACAGGCTCCGATGGGGGTAGGGGCGAATCCTCAACAGAGAGGTATGCAACCGGTTGCCCAGCAACAAACGGCACTACAGAAATTACAAGAAGAGAAGGAACAGTTACGCAAGCGACAGGAAGAGCTCAACAGACAGGTAAAACTTGAGCAGGTACATTTTGTATGCACTCATTCCATTATATATTACTGAGATGTCTTGCATAGCAACAACTGTCCTATTCATAGCAACAATTGTCCTATTCATAATACATAATATATTTATGTAAAATTACAAAACTGTATAGTTTATTCTTTTTTTTCTGAAACGAATAATTAAAAATAGGTCTGGTAAATCCTAAAATGGTAAAAATAATTGAAGATTAATAGATGAATAAGTGTCATTTGAGTTAAATGATAAAAGATATATTGCTGTGTTTACTTTTAAGTCCTAATTTTGCATTAATTTTGGTATTGTTTTTGGTATGTACTCAAGTCAACAGCTTTTCCATTCATCTTTGTTTATCTCACACTTATGCCATCTTCCAAAAATTTCAAAGGGGTATTATTTAATTCTAAGAACTTATCTATAAAAAGTGTCATATCTAAATCAACAGTATCAAAATTTACAATTGCAAAGAGTAGGTTTAGAAAAAACATGATTACATTATGTTTTTACAAAATTTGGAGTATAGATAAGGAGTTAAGGCTCTGCAAGACATCTTAGAAACTGCCATACACCATTCTGTCTCTAATTAATGAATCCTTCCTGATAAATGTTGCAAATTATTAAGTTTAAACTATTGTAAAATCATTTTTAAATGACTTAAAATCATCATTGACTGATGTTATTGGTGTTTTTTCTGCTTTCCTCATTTCTTGAACAAGTTTAGCTCCAATCCAATGGAAAAAGGAAGAAAATAAAAATGGGTACACAAACTTATTAACCAGGATTTTAGTAAAACAGTTAACTAGCCCTCCCCAAAATCAATAAATTATAAGTATGTTGTATGTACCATATGTTTAACTGTCTCTCTGCTTGCAATTGTAACGCAGACTGTATCATCTACTTTCTAGACATAGAATATTCACACTTGCACACTTTTTACCTGCAGGATAGGTGATTTATGTTTACATACAACTGCATTGAAAAAATTTCAATATCTTTTGGGGGCTGGGGGACATGAATAACCTTAACATTCATGGTCATATATTCAAGAATCAGGAAATATGATAATATTATCTTTATTGGAGACTTTTAAAAAGTCACAATTGGAACAACTGTTTTAAAACAGGCCTATAACCTCCTTTACTAACTGTTCATTTTATGCATCATTTGTAGAATTAATTAGCGACAGAATGGCATTCATTCATTATACATGTTTTAATTTGGTTAAAAAAAAGTCACATTAAAATTTTATTTCCTTTTATACATGTACTTTTGTACAGGTACAGGTAATTATAAATGCCACAATATTATATATCCCTGACACAAACATTCTGTTGGTGGTAATCATTGCACTATAGACTTACTCCAGAATAAAGAATATGTTGGGTTTTTCCAAGCTAATCCGGGGGTACAAACAAACTTATACAGTTACAGCTTCAAAATTTAGTGCAAAATGTTGACTTTTCTATTGTGAACATTAGTGCTTTTTTGGCGGTAAAAGTTTGTGCTACGGGATTAGATTGGAAAAACCCACATTTGCCGAGTTCTTGATAACATCTATTAAATCACTTCTCATTTCACAGTAAACCTTTTTTATAGCTGTAAAATTTGGGCTTTCAGTCCATATTTCTTAATAGAATGTTCAAAAAAAAATTATAAAAAAAAAAAAAAAAAAAAAAATTATCTGCTAAATTTCATTCACTATATCAGCAACAATCATCTTTCAATAACTTAAGACAGGGCTGTTAAAATGAAATTCTGCTTCAACCCACATTGTCAACATATTGGAGATTTTGTTAAGTAGCAATTTACCTTAAGTCTACATTGTAAACATTTTGGAATCAACCTACGTTTAGCTATTAAAGTGTCACACTTTATTAGCCCACAAATTATTATCATTTTGATTATCATCTCATTATTGAACAGCCTACCTCAAACTTCATTGTAAACTTCTGATTATCAGCGGGAATATCACATGACCTCCTCCCCTACACTCCTACACCCCTATCCAATCATCATAAACCTTTTGTTTTGCTGTCCATCCTACCTAGAAAGTTACCGTGGCTCCCTACCTTATTGTATTCCCATTGTTTATCTATCATAGCTCATTCACAATGAACACTTAAACATTCAAAAAATTTGTCTTAAACATTTAAAACTTGTATGTTTTGATTGTCACAATTTTCTTTTAAAGTTTCGTATCTACTGTTTTGAAAAACATTAAAAACCACAGTTTAACGATGCAAATAACTGCTGTAGTTATATGATTTCATTGGCAAAAAAGGATTTCTTCTATAACCACCCTTTCAATAATAATAATTCAAATGCCTGACCTGTTTTTACCAGTAGAAAGTTCCAATATTGCAGCATTTAACTCTAGATGTCAAATGGTTATCTAAAGTTAGCATGTAACAATAATGTTGACTTGTTTTATTCCTGTTATAAATGAAGTTATATAGTTTTAATTACATTTCAGGAGATGGCATTACGGAATTCTAATACAGAGTTAACAACAATAACAGACCCATTCTTAGGGCAGTCGAATGCCACAGATTTACATGCTAGACAGGGCAGCACTGATTCAGGTCTAGGTGCGATTCTTAATAACTTCTTTCATAAAATACACTTACTCTGGAATTAAGAATTTATTTTTTTTGGCTAATATTGGGGTATTGATTTTTGTTGTGAATATATATTAACTGTGAAATTAAGCACCACAGATTTACTTATCTGTTGTGAAAAGTAGTGAAAAGTAGTGTACTGTGAAGTTTTAACAGTAAAAAAATTGTCTGTATCGGGATAAGCTTGGGGGAAAAAACAACGCCACATGAGCCGAGTTCCAGATAACATCTATTTAAAACACTAGAATAATTATAGATTAATATTACAATATATCTAATATGTTTTTGCTCTCTTAATATGGATTGATCTACATTGGGCACATTTTCTATGAATATTTTTTCAAAAAGATTTAAAAACTGTAGAACTGTATCATTTGGATATTCTTATAAAAAAAATTCTCGAAAAAAATTTTTTTTATAGAGTTCTAAGTGATATAATATGAACATTTATATGACAAATAACAGTATTTCGTTCAAGAACATTTTATTATGTACTATATAAATATATGTAGAATCAGAACTATGTAGAATTGGATCATGTATCTCCGACCAACCAACAACATACATATATTATTTTTTTGGTGGTTTGTTGTCATATATCATATGTTATATATCATACTAGATACTATCAACATAATAATTTAAACCTTCCATTATGGACAAATTTACTTTAAAATCTAACAATAACAAATAGCTTGCATGACTCATAACATTAACTCTTTTGTTAACATTGTTCTTTCTGCATATATACTGAGGAGGGTGGCAGTGTACAAGGTATAAGGTTAGAGTACAATACATGCAATGGGGAAAATTTCATAAGATTGAAAAAATTGCAAGTTTTTTAAATTGACATTAAAGATTTAAATGTAAATGGATAAGCTATAAAATTTACATAGTGTATTTTGTTGGGGTTTGAAGTAATACAGATATTGTAACGCCATATGACAAATTTCTAACTTTACGGGGGAAGAAAGATCTATGGTGCTTCAGGGATAATTTTAGGCACAAGCTGGCAGAGTCTTCATTAGAATCATTGACCTTTGATAAGCTTGCTGGATGGCGTAAAAATAAATGTGTTAATAATAGGAAAAAAATTCAGCTATTTTTTTTTTCGAGAAGATCTTTTGAGTCAAATTGCAGGAACTTAAAAAAACATGCTATTTTGTGATTGTTGTAGGAGGAATGGGAAGTGGGACCAGTTTTGTACCGAGAACTCCTGAAGAATTCCTGAGTAACGTTGGCGAAATGGATGCGCAAGACGGAGGTATGTACCGTTGTCTTGTAGATCTTTTTTTGTCATCTTCATCCTTCCCATTTCACTTATCATTTCATTATTTGTTGTGTGGAGGATGTACTGTTACTATGGAATTCTTTTGTGGGTGTCACAAATTGTTTTCGTTATATCATTTTAGGACACAACAATTCATGACCATGATAATTCTTACGTTTGTTCTAATGTTAGTTATAGAGAGAGCATAAAAACATGAGGCTATCTATAAAACAAAGAGCATCAGTATACAAGGCTATTTTGATTTGTATGAGGGGGCATATTTCTTTCTTTTTGTATCACAGGCAAAAAAAAACAACTTTCCTGAAAATTTATCAGACTTCACTTTGGGTAAAAAGGCGATCATTACCCCTTTCTCCATTGACCAGATGTTTCATCAAGCTAACATAAAAATTGTTACATTAAATTGTTGACTGGAAGTAGATTTGTATATTTTTATTCTGTTAACAGAATAAAAGGTAGAAAAATTGTATGTTATAGAAAAAAAAAATTTATTGTAATACTACTATGATTACTAAATGAACTGGTACATATCACATTTACATTTACAAGAAAATTTGACTCTCGGCATTCACTGGTACTTAACAAGCCAGTGTACTGTATGCAATTATGATGAAAAATGATTTATTGAAATTCTTGTTATATTATACAAGTAGGTCATCGCCAAGGCGATTTCAATAACATGGACATGGGAAGTATAGATGCAGAACACTCAAACATGGATAGTGACGACCTTGTACCAAGCTTACAGGTAATTTTATATCTTATATCTTGTCTCGTAGTAAATAAAACGGACACAGTAATTAACCTGCACCCTGCTTGTGGCAACAGATTTTACCCATGTGACCAGTGCAGACTAAGATCAGCCAGCACATCCCTGCAGACTGATCATGGTCCGCACTGCCATTCAATTAGTATATGTTTAATATTTTCCTGAAGACGATGACTGGCTGCATCTAGATTCAAAGATGGACAGGTCCATTTCAAGTACTATTAACATAGCATAGTAAGGGTTATTAAGCAAGTTATGTAAAAGCTTGTGTACTACACAATATAAAATTAAGATAATTGAAACATATTGTTATAAATTAGATGATATTCATGGGTGTATACTTGTGAAATATTGTAGATTTTATGAATAAATATCCTGACATAGAAAATTTGAAACACCAGTCATATAGCTTGATAATGTGTAAGAACAGTGTGCTGTGATGTGATAGCATAATTTCTCCCTGAAGTTCAAAACTACTCCTCCAATTTCTCCATGAGTGTGAAATATTTTCTCTCCCTAAATTTCAAAACTACTCCCCTATTTTTAGCTCACCTGTCACAAAGTGACAGGGTGAGCTTTTGTGATCGCTTTTCGTCCGGCGTCCGTCCGTCCGGCGTCCGTCCGTCCGTAAACTTTTACTTTAAATGACATCTCCTCATAAACCACTAAGCCAATTTCATCCAAACTTCACAGGAATGTTCCTTTGGTGGTCACCTTTAAAAATTGTTCAAAGAATTTTATTCCATGCAGAACTCTGGTTGCCATGGCAACCGAAAGAAAAAACTTTAAATATCTTCTTTTAAAAAACCATAAGAGCTAGAGCTTAGATATTTGGCATGAAACATCTTCTAGTGAGTGTCTACCAAGTTTGTTCAAATAAAAGCCCTGGGGTCAAAATTGGCCCCGCCCCGAGGGGTCATTGATTTTCCCTATATGCATATAGTAAAAACTTAAAAAATCTTCTTTTAAAGAACCCAAAGAGCTAGAGCTAAGATATTTAGCATGAAACATGTTCTAATGGGTGTCTACCAAGTTTGTTCAAATAAAAGCCCTGGGGTCAAAATTGGCCCCGCCCCGGGTGGTCATTGATTTTCCCTATATGCATATAGTAAAAACTTAAAAAATCTTCTTTTAAAGAACTCAAAGAGCTATGGCTAAGATATTGAGCATCAAACATGTTCTAATAGGTGTCTACCAAGTTTGTTCAAATAAAAGCCCTGGGGTCAAAAATAGGCCCCGCCCCAGGGGGTCATTGATTTTCCCTATATGCATATAGTAAAAACTTAAAACATCTTCTTTTAAAGAACCAAAAGAGTTAGAGCTAAGATATTTAGCATGAAACATGTTCTAATGGATGTCTACCAAGTTTGTTCAAATAAAAGCCCTGGGGTCAAAATTGGCCCCGCCCCGGGGGTCATTGATTTTCCCTATATGCATATAGTAAAAACTTAAAAAATCTTCTTTTAAAGAACTCAAAGAGCTATGGCTAAGATATTTAGCATCAAACATGTTCTAATAGGTGTCTACCAAGTTTGTTCAAATAAAAGCCCTGGGGTCAAAATTGGCACCGCCCCGGGGTCATTGATTTTCCTTATATGTGTATAGCAAAAACTTAAAAAATCTTTTTTTGAAAAAACCCAAATAGCTAGAGTTAAGATATTAAGCATAAAACATCTTTTAGTGAGTGTCTACAAAGTTTGTTCAAATAAAAGACCTGGGGTCAAAATTGGCCCAGCCCCGGGGGTCATTGATTTTCTTTATATGTTTATAGCAAAAACTTAAAATCTTCTTTGAAAAAACCCAAATAGCTAGAGTTTAGATATTAAGCACGAAACATCTTCTAGTAAGTGTCTACAAAGTTTGTTCAAATAAAAGCCCTGGGGTCAAAACTGGCCCGGCCCCAGGGGTGTCATTGTTTTTAACTGTATGTGTATAGTAAAAACTTTAAAAAAAATCTTCTTTTAAAAAGCCCAATGAGCAAGAGCTTAGATGTTAAGCATGAAACATCTTCTTATGGGTGTCTACCAAGTTTGTGCAAATAAAAGCCCTTGGGTTTAATTGGCCCTGCAACGTTGGGGGGGGGGGGGGGGGCTATATACAGGTGAGCGACCTCAGGGCCATCATGGCCCTCTTGTTAAAGGAGGGAGAAATCACTTCTCCCTAAAATTTTCTGGTCTTGGAGAATACGATTTTTTCTAGGGAGAAGTTCTGATGTTAACAGATGTTTTGATTTATTACACTTTTACCTGGTATTATAATGAGATAATTTAATTTTGTTTTTTCTCTCCCCCCGCAGGCTGATGATATCAGTAATGAGCTGCTAAATGATGTTCAGACAGTTTTAGAATCCAACAAAATGGATGACAGCCTGCTCACCTGGTTGTGAGGTCAAGGTCATTTACATTATTTGATTGCCATGGTAACATGATGCTGAACTACATTTTTTATAAGGAAAGAAAATGGTTACCAGGCATCATTTGTGAACAGTTGATGTATTATAGCAACAAACGAATCTGGAAAATTCAAAAATGGAATGTTTTTTAAAAGGCAGATAAAGCGAATAGGGAATGTTTTTGTTCATATTGTCACTTTCCAGCCCATGACAGTCAAAAAACGTCACCTGTACATGTTTTCATTTAAGTAAGTTTTTTTACAGAGTTCATAATAGACAAACATTTATTATACGGCTAAGAAAATCATTCAAAGGTTGCTATATGTGAATGGACAACATGGTGAATTTTTTTTTTGAGAAGAAAAAGGGCGAATCTAGCCAGGATACAAAAGACTTACTGCAAGAATTCTTCTGGCTAGAGTTTTTTTTCGCAAGGCAGAATTGAAGATAACCTATCCATGAGCTCCTCATAATAAAAAGTGTGCATAAGAAAGACTTAGATGTAAGAATCACTTTGTAGCCATAGCAATGTGGTTGTATCACATATATTTTTCTTTACAATTTTTTATTACATGTATCAGGGAAATAACACTTATGATGATGATGATATATGTTAAATATGTGTGCATAAGATTATATTTTGTATTTCAAAATGCGGAAAAAAAATTCACAAAAAAAAAAGCGATAAAAAATTGTAATGTTATATTATAAAATATGTAACCATTAGAATGTGGTTGTTATTTTTGCATTATCATTATAACACATTAAGTATGTACACATTTATTTCATTATATTTTTTTTTGCATTGATCATAATTATTACATCATTTATATCTCACTTGTGATTTTTTTATAAGCATTTTGCCATTATTATAAAATATTATTATATACGACTGAAGAGATCAATTCATGTGCTTAAATTAATTTCGGATATAAAATCTAAAATTTGATGTGTTCTTTTTTTTGTCGCTAGAAAGTGTGAGAAAATTTGTTTTTCTCACTTCATTTTATAGTATAGATTTTTGATTTTATGTAGATATACTCCAGGCAGCTTTCATAGAAATTTGGTACAAGCTATAAAATAAGACTGAGAAGTACAATTTCTAATTAAATCTTAGTGCTATGTTTTAAAAGATTGTGAAAACTTACTAATGAAGTAAATTCGATTCTTAAAATAAGGCGGGAATTCCAAGATCACCATAAATTGATCTCATCAGTTGTGTAAGAGATTGTTGAATTATTTGTATATAAAGAGCAGCTCTTCCCAAAATGCATTAATTATTTTTAACCTTTTTTGTGTTTTTATATATATATATATCCCTTTATATGAAGTTAATTCTCTTTACCTTGTCTTTGCATTGAAGCATCTGGAGATAATAAGATATTTAAAGCTTTCTGAGGAGAATCTATCTATGTATTTTTGTTTTTTGGCAATATCTCACTGTTAGTGGAAATAAAATTATTTCCCTTTAAATATGCTCTTTTAAAGGGAGATAATTATGTGGGTAGGAGATGGAATTTTAACTTCCAGTATTGATACTGTTATACTGTACTTTGAAATATTATTTACAGCGCAGTGCGAGATCTGACCGTTTGAGTGACTGGGGAAAAATGTTTATATCGGAACATTGGACACAGATTACATACAAAGACAAAATTATTTTTCAAAGTTCTAAACCGTATATTATTAGTACTGGAAATATTTAGTTTGATCTCTTACTTACAAAGACTTACAGTGAGTTATGTCAAAAACTTTATACTATCTTCAAACATATGCTTTGTCTTTTACTATTTATATAGCTGTCTTTTCCTAATCTTTTTCCTGCTTTTTTGACAGTCTTTCTAACTTAGAAAGATTAACTTGCTGTTTATTAGTGGCGGCTAATTTTATTGTAAAAACTTCATTTGTCCCGAGATTGGAGTTTTAGTTTATTAGAATAAATATGATCAATAGAGTTTGTTCATTTCCATACTTGTGTAAAGAAACATTCATAGATGTTGTAAGTTATCAAATTTACCTTGAAGATGTAAGAATAATTTTGCGCATTTTTATTGATTTTTTTTTTTTTTTTTTTACCAAATTAAGGTTATTTTTTATTTTTCGAAAAATGAAGATAATGTAAGTAATGATTTTAAGGTTGATTAATTCTTCACAGGTGTGAGTTAGATCATTATTTATAAATTTTGTTGATGTAAAACCTTACATTAAAGACCTCTTAACTGAAAAGGATTGATTGAATATCAATATACATGTACATCAGAACAAAAACACATTTTTGAAGATTTTAGAATGTGATTTTATTTTTGAGATGCACAATGTAATAGGGTCCGGAGAAAACCTGTTCAGTTTGAATTAAATTTACATTTTGGAGCTAATGTTTGGCTAATTTTCTAATTCAGAATGTGATAAATGATCAGAAATACTCGTAACTTTTATTCTACATCTAAAGATCAGAAATTCTAATAATTTTATCCCTCGCCTGTGAAGGTAAGTCAAATAATAAGATTTAATAATGTTTTTGTGCCTTATCTAATATATGCACATGTAGCGCTATTTATTCACTTTGTCCGAAACGAACTAATATGCCTTTTTACTTGATAAAGACGTCCACTTATTCTAATTGCCATAACTTTGCGTAATTTCTAATGCTAAATATTTTTTTCTTGTCTTAGGATCAGTCAAACTTTGGTCACTTTGTTGGTTTGATGGCTCTTTATTATTGAAGAGAGAAAGTTTAATAATAAATGACACCATTAAACTTTTCAGTTATATGTAAAGATAAAATGATTCAAAAGATGTATATATTTTATAGCAATTTTGAAGTTTTAAATCAGGATAAGTGTATGATTGTCCTCTGGATACTACATGTATTAATTGTTTTCAAAATTAAATTTTTTGTTTAGAATGTTAAATCCAGATTATCAGTAGAATGTTAAATTAACACAGTAACTATATTGTGATATTTGAAAAAAATGTTCGAGCAGTGGGCTAGCGGCTTAGGTGTCTGCCTCTCGTCCTAAGGGAACATTTGTTCAAGTTGAATTGTTGCCACGCCCATATTTCTTAATGTGACACCTGTAATAGTTGGTTTCAGGAAGCAAATTCTAGTTATAATAAGCATCGAAACTTGCTTCACTATCAAAGCTTACAAAAATAACGATTTTTATAAAAAGATTATTTGATTAAAAACTTTGTGACAAAATAAATAATGTTTAAACCAAAAATTCTGGAAACAAAGTGATCCCTCAGAAGCATTAATCAACACAAAATCACATGAAAATTGCAGACTCGGTTTGATCGAGTTTTCTTACTATGATACAAGATTTTAAAAGGTAGTGATCAAAGTTTGACTGAAATGGCTACTATGCACAAAAGTAATTTTTGAAGTTTTTTAAATGTTGTAAACCCTTCTCCTAGTATAGATGTTGTGCAGACAAAGAGAAATATTCTATTTTTGTACTACAACTGATATTTTTTGAAGCCAGACTCAGTTGTTCAAAGAAACCATATCATTCCAGTGAAGTTCTCATTTCTATAGACAAATTTTAGGACAAGATAAAATTGTATACAAGCATGAGTTTGATATAGATGATGAAGACTTGAGAATATTATATTTGTAAAATGTATTCCACCATGCCCTTTTTGACTTCGTTCTTAAAGCTGCATGCCTCCAGATGAGCAAAAAAATATTTTGATAAAATCAAACATGAGGAAATGTACTAAGATTTTAGGAAAAGTATAAAGATTCAAAATTTTAGTGATAATTTACATGTTGTGTGGAATTAATGACCGATTTTTCAGTATTTATTACATTTTTTCTAATGCAGTTAGGGCTAATTTTGCATATGTTGGCCTCTTTATGGTAATTTACATGGTTGTAAGTGCCAATGATAATGTGTAAATTGCTTCCTTTTGGTAACTTCGTAATATTATACTGTTAAATACATTTTCAAAATTTTCATGAAAATTAGCATAAATCTGGAGGTGTGCTGCTTTAATGTATTCTTCCCAACTTTCAAACTTGGACAGGTCAATGAAGCAAATAAAAGATAAATGGTGGAATGAAGTAATGACTACTAAGGTTAAGATAATCATGCGATGTATACAAGACTTGTGTTAAAATTTGGCTATGAAATCAGTGTTTCTTTTTTCCGTTGATGCGGAAAATTTTCAGGAGAAAAGATAGATTTTATTTTTTTTATTACAGAAATCATCAGTCATGAAAAATGTTGTTGTTTTTTTATCTTGTGTGATTAATTTCCCTGACACCTTCAGTTGGTGATAATGTAACATTTTTGCAGGTGTGCAATTTCGAAAAATACACAAATTTATGTTTTGTGAATGAAAAAATAATGAGGAGTGCATTGAAACTAAGAAAAAGAGTACTCTCCACGTGGAGGTAGTTTAAAACTATATGATACTCTCTATTTCGGGAGATTGAAAAAGTAGAATCTCTGTCATGAAGAATGAGAATGGTTGACATTCCATGTCCGTGTTGTTGAAATTGCCAGTTATCAACGGTAATTACAAAACAAAAATGAACGTAATTGTGAAGTGGACATTTCATTTCATACTATGGTATTTTTTTATAAACAAAAAAGTCAATACGTTTTTTGTTTACTTTCAAGTGATGGCTTTACAATGTAGTGTTTTCTTGCTTTTTTCGATTTTGTAGAAAGAACTACATTTTGGCAGATGACGCGGAAAATCAAGGTGTTTTTCGTGAACCTTTGTCATAGTGTTGTTTCAACACAAGGCCAGATTATACCTTGGTTGTTTTTTCTTTATCATTGTGAACCCCTAAAACTTTTATTCTTGCATTATTGTACAGTTGTTTTTAGACTATAACACACTTTCGTTTTTTCTAAAAATAGATTTTCTTTAAATGATATTCTGTACATTTACGCTGTATAAATTTTAATGTGTTTTGAATTACTGTAGAGATTTTTAAAATTGTAATTTTGAAAAATTAAAAAAGTACATAAAAAATTACACAATATGTGTTTTGTCCCATAGAAAAAAAGAATTTTTGTTATATAACGGAGGGATAGTTTTGTGTCTGTATTTTTAGCGTACTCTCAATGAATTTTTAAGTTATTTGTATGTAATTGATTAGAAACATATGTTGAAATGTTCAGTGAAACCCCTGGAGGTAACAAGAGTGAAAGCTTGCATGAAGGTTGGTATGATGTATTGTTTAACACTGTTTGATTTTATGAAAAATGAGAGCTGGACATTTTACCAACAGAATAACCAAGAAAAGGCAAAAAGGCAAAAAAATGCGATATTTCAGAAGAGCTATTAAATTTATCTTTTTCTTCCATATTAAGGATTTTGAATTGTATTAAATCTTGAAAGATGTGTCAAAGATATTGAAGTTTCCTCTGGGGGTGATTTTTTTGTTGATATAATTCTATTTTGTACCAACATACAATTGAATCCTACAGTACTATAATATTATATTTTGAAAGAAAATTTACGTTGAACCTATGAGATTTTATCATTTAAAAAGATATAATTTAAGGAGATAGCATTCTAATTCTGTAACAATATTCATGACAGTTCTTGAAGATACTGTTCTGCTGGAAAGAGACACATTTATATGGAAAAGAAATTAAAATTTAAATTTGTTTGAAGAACCAAAACCTATTTTTCAGTAAAGATCAAGAACTTTTTTTATTTCAGACGATTTACTTAGTTTTGAGTTACGCATTGTATGTGCTTAGTCAGCAAAAAACGTCTGTTGCATTTCTATTTTTAGACCTGATGAAATAATTCTGTAGGATTCCAATTAAAACATATATAAATATTATATAAATATATTATATTATCATCTGTTAGCTATTTAAATTTTAATATTATAATTAGATACATATCTGTGTAAATATGTTAAATGATGTGAGCAGATTGGATTGCAACCAAAGTATTCATGATATTATATAATGATTGTTTCTTTTTTTGTTTTCTTTATTTGTACAAAATGATAATTAGATTGATGTAGGACTAGTTAAAAAAAACGTTTCAATCTTTTCAGTACTGAACATAGATCCATTTTTATCTGACATCAGTTTGTATTATGGGAAGGCTAGTTATAAATTAAATTATTCTCCAAAAACTCTTAGTTAAAAGTACTTCTTTTCAATTTTATTTTATTTAACATTAGTCGTCTTAATTTCAATCACTAATAAGACTTTATATTGAAGAAAAGAATTGTATGGTAGAAGAAAGCTAATATAATAGGGGAAAAAATATTATAAATTTCATATTAGATATATAATTTTTGAGATTTTTAAGTCTCTTTCATGTTTGAACACTAGAACTTGAAGTTAAATATAGATAATTATTGATATTTGCAAAGTCCTTATAAAAAGTCAGGCAGTAAAAATGAAGGACTGAATCCACTAATATTACAATTCTTTATGAAGAAAAGTGGAAAAATACTTTTTCGTATAGGTGTCCAAAATTTCCCAATATGACCTTTTTTTATAACATTTCAAAGGAAAGTGCTATCAAATGTGATGTTTATGCAGTTATTTTGTGATATTTTACTAACCATAAAAAAGTCCTATATATACATATACATATATAAAAAAAAACCTTTGTTTTTATACTAAGTGTGTATCATAAGTTGCTTCCAACCATTTAGTAATATATGTTATAACTCATAAACTGCCATCTTCCTACACTATGTTATCATTTGAGCCGCGTCACGACAAAACCAACATAATGCGTTTGCGACCAGCATGGATCCAGACCAGCCTGCGCATCCGCACAGTCTGGTCTGGATCCATGCTGGTCGCAAATGCATTATGTTGGTTTTGTCGTGACGCGGCTCATTTTTATTTTCTGCTGAGTCGTCAGTTTTGTCATATTTTTATTCAGTTATTATATTGTTTGAAGAAAAAAAATCAAAGACTATTCTGAAAATGAGATAAATCATTTCACTAATTTTATGCAATTTTGAGGATAAGAGACAACTGTGTCTTCTAGATCTCATGAAAAAAGATGTTTTCACAAAATGCGACCCCTATAAGGTCATTAATGTAAATACAAAATAAAAAAAAAAAATAAAAAAAATGAAAAATAGCGTTTTGTTTTTATTTTATTGCATTTTCCTGATTTATATTGTTCAGGAGATATTATGGTATGGTGTTGACCATTTGTCTGTCTGTCAATACAAGAAAATTTGGTTTCTGCAGTTTAACTTTTCAAGGATTTTGTTGATTGTGTTTATATTTTGCTTGTAAGCATTATATATGTATATCAAAACACAAGTCGATATTTGATATTTGCTGCAATCAACTTCTTATTGATAAGAGTTATACCACTTATGAACCAAATTTGCTGTGAAGTTACTGGTTTCTATGGGTTAACTTTCGAAGGCTTTCAATGATTGTGTTTATATTTGGTAAACTTTTACTTTAAACTACATCTCCTCATAAACCGCTAAGCAAATTTCATCCAGACTTCACAGGAATGTTCCTTTGGTGGTCAGCTTGTTGTTCAAAGAATTTAATTCCATGCACAACTCTGGTGGCTATGGCAACCAAAAGAAATATCTTAAAAAATCATTTTTTAAAAAACCCAAATGCCTAGAGCTTAGATTTTTAGTAAACATCTTCTAGTGAGTGTCTACCAAGTTTGTTCAAATGAAAAAGATCCACATAATGGAGAATCTACATAGTGGATAAGGGGCTAAGGAGAATCTACAAAGTGGACAGGGTCTAAGGAGAATCTACATAGTGGACAGGGTCTAAGGAGAATCTACATAATGGACAGGGTCTAGGAAGAATCTACATAATGGACTGAGTCTAGGGAGAATCTACATAGTGGACACGGTCTTGGGAGAATCTACATAGTGGACAGGGGCTAGGGAGAATCTGCATAGTGGGCAGGGTCTAGGGAGAATCTACATAGTGGACATGGTCTAGGGAGAATCTACATAGTGGACAGGGTCTAGGGAGAATCTACATAGTGGACAGGGTCTAGGGAGAATCTACATAGTGGACAGGGTCTAGGGAGAATCTACATAGTGGACAGGGTCTAGGGAGAATCTACATAGTGGACAGGGTCTAGGGAGAATCTTCAAAGTGGACAGGCTCTAGGGAGAATCTACATATTTGACAGGGTCTAGGGAGAATCTACATAGTGGACATGGTCTAGGGAGAATCTACATAGTGGACAGGGTCTAGGGAGAATCTTCAAAGTGGACAGGCTCTAGAGAGAATCTACATATTTGACAGGGTCTAGGGAGAATCTACATAGTGGACATGGTCTAGGGAGAATCTACATAGTGGACATGGTCTAGGGAGAATCTACATAGTGGACAGGCTCTAGGGAGAATCTACATAGTGGACATGGTCTAGGGAGAATCTACATAGTGGACATGGTCTAGGGAGAATCTACATAGTAGACAGTGTCTAGGGAGAATCTACATAATGGACAGGGTCTAGGGAGAAACCTTCATAGTATGCTGGGTCTAGGAGAATCTACATAGTGGACAGGTTCTAGGGAGAATCTACATAATGGACAGGTTCTAGGGAGAATCTACATAGTGGACATGGGCTATGGAGAATCTACATAGTGGACAGGGGCTTGGGAGAATCTACATAGTGGACAGGTTCTAGGGAGAATCTACATAGTGGACAGGTTCTAAGATGAGTATACATAGTGGACAGGGGCTAGGGGGAATCTACATAGTGGACAATGGGCTAGGGAGATTACATAGTGGACAGGGTCTAGGGAGAATCTACTTAGTGGACAGGTTATATGGAGAATCTACATAGTGGACAGGGTTTAGGGAGAAAATTCATAGTATGCAGTGTCTAGGGAGAATCTACATAGTGGACAGGTTCTAGGGAGAATCTACATAGTGGACAGGGTCTAGGGAGAATCTACATAGTGGACAGGGTCTAGGGAGAATCTACATAGTGGACAGGGTCTAGGAAGAATCAATAGTGGACAGGGGCTAGGGAGATTTACATAATGGACCAGTTCTAAGGAGAGTATACATAGTCGACAATCGGCTTGGGAGAATCTACATAGTGGATGGGGTCTAGGGAGAATCTACATAGTGGACAGGGTCTAGGGAGAATCTATATAGTGGACAGGGGCTAGGGATAATGTTCATAGTTGACAGGGTCTAGGAAGAATCTACATAGTTGACAAGGGCTAGGGAGAATATACATAGTGGACAGGGTCTAGGGAGAACCTAAATAGTGGACAGGGTCAAGCGAGAATCTACATAATGGACAGGTATTAAGGAGAATATACATAGTGGACAGGGTCTAGGGAGAACCTAAATAGTGGACAGGGTCAAGCGAGAATCTACATAATGGACAGGTATTAAGGAGAATATACATAGTGGACAGGGGCTAGGGAGAATCTACATAGTGGACAGGGCTAGGGAGAATATACATAGTGGACAGGGGCTAGGGAGAATCTACATAATGGACAGGGTCTGGGGAGAATCTACATAATGGACAGGGTCTAGGGAGAATCTACATAGTGAACAGGTTCTTTGGAGAATCTACATTGTGGATAGGGTCTAGGGAGAATCTACATAGTGGACAGGTTCTAGGGAGAATCTACATAGTGGACAGGGGCTAGGGATAATGTACATAGTGGACAGGGTCTAGGAAAAATCTACATAGTTGACAGGGGCTAGGGAGAATATACATAGTGGACAGGGTCTAGGGAGAGCCTAAATAGTGGACAGGGTCAACCGAGAATCTACATAGTGGACAGGTATTGACGGAGAATATACATAGTGGACAGGGGCTAAGGAGAATCTACATAGTGGACAGGGGCTAGGGAGAATCTACATAGTGGACAGGGGCTAGGGAGAATCTACATAGTGGACAAGGGCTAGGGAGAATATACATAGTGAACAGGTTCTTTGGAGAATCTACATTGTGGACAGGTTCTAGGGAGAATCTACATAGTGGACAATGGGCTAGGCAGAATCTATATAGTGGACAGGTTCTAGGGAGAATCTACATAGTGGACAGGGGCTAGGGATAATGTACATAGTGGACAGGGTCTAGGAAGAATCTACATAATGGACAGGGGCTAGGGAGAATCTACATAGTGGACAGGGTCTAGGGAGAACCTAAATAGTGGACAGGGTCAAGCGAGAATCTACATAGTGGACAGGTATTAAGGAGAATATACATAGTGGACAGGGGCTAGGGAGAATCTACATAGTGGACAGGGGCTGGGGAGAATCTACATAATGGACAGGGGCTAGGGAGAATCTACATAATGGACAGGGTCTGGGGAGAATCTACATAATGGACAGGGTTCTAGGGAGAATCTACATAGTGAACAGGTTCTTTGGAGAATCTACATTGTGGACAGGGTCTAGGGAGAATCTACATAGTGGACAATGGGCTAGGCTGAATCTATATAGTGGACAGGTTCTAGGGAGAATCTACATAGTGGACAGGGGCTAGGGAGAATATACATAGTGGACAGGGTTTAGGGAGAGCCTAAATAGTGGACAGGGTCAACCGAGAATCTACATAGTGGACAGGTATTGACAGAGAATATACATAGTGGACAGGGGCTAAGGAGAATCTACATAGTGGACAGGGGCTAGGGAGAATCTACATAGTGGACAAGGGGCTAGGGAGAATCTACATAGTGGACAATGGCTAGGGAGAATCTATATAGTGGACAGGTTCTAGGGAGAATCTACATAGTGGACAGGGGCTAGGGATAATGTTCATAGTGGACAGGGTCTAGGAAGAATCTACATAGTTGACAGGGGCTAGGGAGAATATACATAGTGGACAGGGTCTAGGGAGAACCTAAATAGTGGACAGGGTCAAGTGATATCTACATAGTGGACAGGTATTAAGGAGAATATACATAGTGGACAGGGGCTAGGGAGAATCTACATAGTGGATAGGGGCTAGGGAGAATCTACATAGTGGACAGGGGCTAGGGAGAATCTACATAATGGACAGGGTCTAGGGAGAATCTACATAATGGACAGGGTCTAGGGAGAATCTACATAGTGAACAGGTTCTTTGGAGAATCTACATTGTGGACAGGGTCTAGGGAGAATCTACATAGTGGACAGGTATTAAGGAGAATATACATAGTGGACAGGGGCTAAGGAGAATCTACATAGTGGACAGGGGCTAGGGAGAATCTACATAGTGGACAGGGGCTAGGGAGAATCTACATAGTGGACAATGGCTAGGGAGAATATACATAGTGAACAGGTTCTTTGGAGAATCTAGATTGTGGACAGGTTCTAGGGAGAATCTACATAGTGGACAGGGGCTAGGGATAATGTACATAGTGGACAGGGTCTAGGAAGAATCTACATACTTGACAGGGGCTAGGGAGAATATACATAAGTGGACAGGGTCTAGGGAGAACCTAAATAGTGGACAGGGTCAAGCGAGAATCTACATAGTGGACAGGTATTAAGGAGAATATACATAGTGGACAAGGTCTAGGAAGAATCTACATAGTAGACAGGGGCTAGGGAGAATATACATAGTGGACAGGGTCTAGGGAGAACTTAAATAGTGGACAGGGGCTAGGGAGAATCTACATAGTGGACAGGGGCTAGGGAGAATCTACATAATGGACAGGGGCTAGGGAGAATCTACATAGTGGACAATGGGCTAGTGAGAATCTACATAGAGGACAGGTTCTAGGAAGAATTTACATAGTGGACAAGTTCAAGGGAGAATCTACATAGTGGACTGGGGCTTTGGAGAATCTACATAGTGGACAGGGTCTAGGGAGAATCTACATAGTGGACAGGGTATAGGAAGAATCCATAGTGGACAGGGGCTAGGGAGAATCTACATAGTGGACAGGGGCGAGGGAGAATCTACATAGTGGACAGGTTCTAGGGAGAATCTACATAGTGGACAGGGTTTAGGGAGAATCTACATAGTGAACAGGTTCTTTGGAGAATCTACATAGTGGACAGGGGCTAGGGAGAATCTACATAGTGGACAGGGGCTAGGGAGAATCTACATAGTGGACAATGGCTAGGGAGAATATACATAGTGAACAGGTTCTTTGGAGAATCTTTATTGTGGACAGGTTCTAGGGAGAATCTACATAGTGGATGGGGGCTAGGGAGAATCTATATGGTAGAAAGGGTCTATAGGGAGAATCTATATATATAATGGACAGGGTCAAGAAAGAAGCTACAAAGTGAACTGAGGAGGCAATTAAGGGCATTAGGTCTAGAGAGAGTTTACAAAGTGGACAATGGCTATGTCATGTTGTAGTTGTCATGTTGTAGTTAGGATTTACATAGAGGACAGCATTTAGAGATTTGTGATAAAATGTATACTATAGGGATAGACAGAATTGTAATATCTTAAAACAAGTGTAAGAAAGTTATGTAATAGGCCTATCTTTTGTATTCTTTTTATTGCGTTCAAAGTATTGATAAGAACCCTCTAAAAGGCATATCACCAGGATACCCCACGAGAGAGTTTCTCTCATTTTTTGTTCGATTAAAATTACCGAAGAACTTAATTCATAGAATCATATTCTTATTTTATAAACAAACCAACCAATAATTCGTTTCCGGTTGTTTGTTTTTTCGAAGCAGCGGGAAAGAAAGCAAGTGAAAGAGACGTTTTTTATGAAGAAAATGGAAAAGGTTGAGTTTTAGACCTGCCTTGACGATCAAAAAACCACTATGAGTTCGGCAAGCAAGGTGAGAATATAATGAACACATTTAATCCGGGTAAACTCCGCCCTAAAACTATCTCGTCCCGGGAGTCATTCGCCCCAATACCAACTCGGCCCATAATTATAATATGAAAAAGGCAAAGCCTCAAAGCGAGCTCGATGTACTTGTATGAAAGCTCATTTTTATTCCAAATGCAGTGACGAGTGCGTGTGACGTCACACGTACTGTGTTAAATATGGCTCCGCCCCTGTCGTGAAATGAATAACGAGTTTTGAAAACGTTGATAAAACTTTGTTTATTTTATTTCATTCTATAATTTTTCAAGCGAAATATAGATTATTTCAAGTGAAATAAATGTAAAACTAAACACATTTGCGACATTAAAATAGTGTACTCAGGGTTCCCTCTGGGTCAAAATTAGTTTGCGCCACCAAATTCGCCAATCAGAAAGAGTTGGAGCCAATGGCTCCAAAGTTGGAGCCAATAATTCTGCAAGGGAGACATGCCTATCTTTGCTAAGATATGCTAGCAGTTATATATCATTATGATTACAAACACATATTTATAATATTTCATTTTATTACAGCTGCACATGTTTATTATCTAAAATATAGACATACTATTATGTGGTTTTCAAATTCTATTTAAATAAATACACATGACAGCATAAATGTAATCAAGAACATCATGTTAAGTTAGTCATCCTGTTTTCCACCGTTTTGCCAGTATAGCAGTTCTTCTCACAGGCTGGACTGAGCCAAGATCTTTCACAGCTTCTACCTGACAATCTGGTGATCTACAGATACAAAATAAAAAAAAACAAAACATTACTATAAATTGACTTCATCTCAAAATCAATGAGAACAAAATATGAAATAGATACTAAGTATTTTTAACAATGAAAAATATTGTTTATTTTAATAGGGTTTGCATATGAATAGACACTTCAGCCCTTTACAATCAGATATGAAAATATTAACATTGCAGTAACAGTGGCTTTAGATCAATCATTAGTGAAATTATTCTTTTAATAATTAATTGTCATCCGATTTAATATTCAAACTGTAATTATTTGAGTCAACTTACCTAAAGTTTAAGGTTTGTCAACATCACGGACGATCTTTCACTTCTCTGTTCGCTACTAACACCTGTTGACCACACATGTAATTATCAGTGATCCAAGTCGTAAATTGTTCCAATTAACAAATTACCACTCTCATCTTCACATGTTCCCAAAGTGTCACACAATTGATGACATAATTGATTATACGGTACCGATAAACAAACTAATAGCGCGTGACCTTTCACATTTGGGCCGCTTATGTAATTGACGCGGCCGCTTATGACATTTAAGTGTACTAGTTGTCGGATGCTTTTATCTTACGTTGGCGCCAGTAAAATTCGCCAATTAAAGATTTTATGCGCCAGAATTAATATTTTGTCGCATTTGGCGCCATTGGCGAGCGACAGCGGGAACCCTGGTACTTGATTTGTTTGTTTTGCACGTGCTGTTTGGCGCTACGTTGTGACGTCACGTAAACAATACTTTAAACGTCTGTACAGCGTTAACGACTGAATAAAAGATATTGGTGTTCGGATTAATTTTCTTAGTTAGACCATTTTCTTACATTCTAGATAGTTTTCACAACAAAATTTGACAAAAAAATTGTTTTTATTTATCAGATTTTTCAAACAAAATGGCGCCTTCGATTTTCATTTTTTATACACAGCTTCCGTTATTCTGGTTCCTTGTCCAATTATGGTTCCCATAGACGTGCGCGGGTGACCAGTCTACACATCCGTTTTCAGTCAGAATTCCTCAGTTTTTATCGTTATCTTTAAATTCGAAAGGTTGCGATGTGTCAAATTCGTAACTTTGGACGAAAGTTTTCAAAACCATCACTTAGCAGGTACTCGCGTTACCGTAAAGCTCGCTTTGCGAGCAGGCCCTTCGGGCCAGCTCGTCGAGCTCGCTATAATACTGAATAGTAACCTTTGCAATAATAAATATTAACCTTTATATTTTTAATAAGAGAGCAAAAAATTGTTTGAACTTATATGTACCCCAAAATGAAATTTACTCTCAAAATATTTGCTATCTACCTGTACTTTTAATATCTATGAGTATGACAGCTGTCAATCGATCTTCCATTAATGTTCTTGTGGAAACGTAGACATGGCGGTGTGTCAAAATCATAAGAAAGTTAAAAAGAGTTGTTTAAAAAGAGTATTTAATAAAAGAGGAATATAAAATGTTAAAAGAGGGCTGGAAAACTAGGATAAGACATGTTCCATGCAAGTTATGGCTGCACTGAATTGCTCTGAGGTAGAGTGTAAGGCAACTGCAGGGGGTAGGTGGTTCTAGGAAAAATGGAGAATTTATGATAGTTCTGTAAATAACGTATAACACAGGATGCCAGGCCATGATGTGATTTTTCAGGAGAGGTGTATCACATTTATTCTTCTATGGGGATAGCCACAAGACTATGGTGAATCTTATAGAAAAAGAATAACCTAGCTTCGTCAGATTTCAAGTTTTTGAAGCTTAAGGGAGCAAAGCATGTCCGTGACACTAGAGGTCTGACCATATAAATCTAGCGTGATGCATTGGGCTGCTCTTCTTTAGACATTTTCAATTTGATCTTATTTTATTTTTATGCCGAGAGACCATACTTTGGAACCATATTCATGCTGGGGTCTTGACTGAAAATTTTATTAACAAAATAATGTCAGTTTGGTTGTTCTTAATGAGATATGTACGTTTTATTGATTGAAATATTGAAAAATAGAAAATGTTTCCATACAAGGTTTTCCCCCTTTTTAAGTCATTATATCATTCAAAGTTTTAGTACCCTTTTTAGTCTGTGAGTGTGTAATTTGTAATGTGGATAAATAAAGTTTTTTTTTGTCTCGCTTTTTAAGTCATATCATTCAAAGTTTAATTCCCTTTTTATCCCCCGCCGAAATGGCGGCGGGGGATATAGAAATAGTCTCCGTCCGTCCGTCCGACCTTCCGTCCGACATTTTTGTCCGGAGCATATCTCTAAAAGTATTTGAGTAATCAACTTGAAACTTCATAGGTGGATAGACCTCATTGAGGAGGAGTGCAGTGCACAAGAATGATAACTCTACCCTGCATAATTTTTGAGTTATTGCCCTTTGTTATTTTTCAAAATTGATTTTTGTCCAGAGCATAACTCCAAAAGCCGATGAGATATCAACATGAAACTTCATAGGTGCATAGATCTCACTCAGGAGGTGTGCAGTGCACAAGAATGATAACTCTACCTTTCATAATTTTTGAGTTATTGCCCTTTGTTATTTTTCACACTTAATTTTTCACCTGAGTGGATCATAACTCAAAAAGTGTTTGACATATCAACATGAAATGTCATAGGTGGATAGATCTTATTGAGGAGGAATGTTGTGCACAAGAATGATAACTCTTCCCTATACAATTTTTGAGTTATTGCCCTTTGTTCTTTTTCATGCTATTTTGTCCAGAGCTTATCTCAAAAAGTATTTGAAGTATCAACTTGAAACTTCATAGGTGCATTGATCTCATTGAGGAGGAGTGCAGTGCACAAGAATGATAACTCTATACTGCATAATTTTTTAGTTATTGCCCTTTGTTATTTTTCAAAATTAATTTTTGTCCAGAGCATAACTCAAAAAGCCTTGAGATATCAAAATGAAACTTCATAGGTGCATAGATCTCACTCAGGAGGTGTGCAGTGCACGAGAATAATAACTCTACCTTTCATAATTTTAGAGTTATTGCCCATTGTTATTTTTCATACCTAATTTTTCACCCGAGTGGATCATAACTCAAAAGTGTTTGAGATGTCAACATGAAATGTCATAGGTGGATAGATTTTATTGAGGAGGAATGCTGTGCACAAGAATGATAACTCTTCCCTGTACAATTTTTTAGTTATTGCCCTTTGTTCTTTTTCATACTATTTTGTCCGGAGCTTATCTCATATAATATTTGAGGTATCAACTTGAAACTTCATAGGTGGATGGATCTCATTGAGGAAGTGTGCAGTGCACAAGAATGATAACTCTACCCTGCATAATTGTTTAGTTATTGTCCTTTTTTTATTTTTCAAAATTAATTTTTGTCCAGAGAATAACTCTAAAGGCCTTTGAGATATCATTATGAAACTTCATAGGTGCATAGATCTAACTCAGGAGGTGTGCAGTGCACAAGAATGATAACTACCTTTTATAATTTTTGAGTTATTGCCCTTTGTTATTTTTCATACTTAATTTTTCAATTCAATTTTTTTCTCAAAAAGTATTTGAGGTATCAACTTGAAACTTCAATCATAGGTGGATAGATTTTAGTGAGGAGGGATGCAGCACACAAGAATGATAACCTACCCTGCATTATTTTTCAGTTATTGCCCTTTGTTATTTTCAGCCATCAGTATTCACATAGGTTTCAAATCTGTAATCACTATAGCCATCAGTTTTCATTACCAAAAGACCTCTTAAAATGGAATTATTCTGCTGTACTACATATACAATCTTCCAATGAGCAAACACATTCGGCGGGGGATGGCCATGTTGACATGGCTCTTGTTACTCATTATATCTTAACCTGTGAGTGCGAAATTTGTAATTTGGATGAATAAAGTGTTTCAGGGTACTCTATTTTAAGAAATTATTCCATTTTTAAATGATGGGGAACAGCAAAGGAACCTCATAAATAACAATTGAATCCAAAATAGACACTAGATGAATTTTGCTAATGAATTACAATTTTGACCATTAATGATCCTGCCTTTAAAGATTGACTTTATACATTGATTGATGTGTTTTTATGACAGGTCGGCGAGATATTTACGGCAGCTGGTGCAGCTTTCAGTAAGCTTGGGGAACTAACAATGCAGCTTCATCCATCTGCTGAACAAAGTCCTGCAAGGTATACATACTATTGCCCCTTCACCTGTTGATATTGAATTTGATAAGTCTTGAGCCAGGCAAGCCTGCATGTCTGTGTAGTATTGACAGGCTGTATGGTTCAGTTTTTGTAGTTTTATATAGAAAAGTTTAAGATTTTAAATCACTTTAATCCATTACAAAATTCAAATGTTAAGGATATGCCTAGGAATATAATGTCATTATTATTAACATACAAACATGATGAATTAAACTAAACCGTCTGGTTTGCTCAGTAGGTAGAATGCTAGACTGTGAATCTGGCAACCTGGGTTCTATTCTTGGATAGTGCAGGTCACTTTCAGTGTGTTTGATCATGATATTCTTTCAATAGACATTTGCATTGTACCTCTGCTCTGGCATATACAGAAATTATGACGGTTCTAATCTTTGCAAAAGTGAAGGTACTAGTGCTGGTACAGTGCTTGAGAGCATGCCAAAGAACATTGGGTGGATGATCTGTGCTCGGTGAATTCAGAGTGGCTTACAGCCATGATCCGGAGGGTAAATCCCCAACAACATCACCACAAAAGTGATGAATGATTACATGAATTGTTTATTTAGAATATTCTCACTGAAACTTCAATCCGTGTTAGGTGATTTATCTTTGTTTCTTTTTCCATTTTGTAGTTTTTGTATATGTTGGCTGTTGTGTTGTCATGTGATAGCTTTTGTTAGTATGTCTCTGTCCATTTTCCCACTTTTTAATTTCAACACGTTGTAAAGTCTCTGTCCATTTTCCCACTTTTTAATTTCAACACGTTGTAAAGTCTCTGTCCATTTTCCCACTTTTTAATTTCAACACGTTGTAAAGTCTCTGTCCATTTTCCCCACTTTTTAATTTCAACACGTTGTAAACAGTGGATTTGTTAATAGTTAAAAGGTTATTATGTTTATTCAAAATTTAATGAATTGAAGTTATTATTTTTGATCAATTATGAATAAGTTGAATATTTTTGTTTTAGTGGAAAATGGACAGACCAGGAAGTAGAGGCCTTAAGAGCATCTGTAAGAAGGTTTGGTGAAGATCTCAATAAAATAAGTGATGTTATTAAAAATAGAACAACGTAAGTTAATGTTCATGAGGTGCAGATGTAATTAAAAATAGAACAATTATGAATATAAGCTAATGTTCATGAGTGGAAAATGTAATTAAAAATAGAACAATTATGAATATAAGCTAATGTTCATGAGTGGAAAATGTAATTAAAAATAGAACAATCATGAATATAAGCTGATGTTCATGAGTGGAAAATGTAATTAAAAATAGAACAATCATGAATATAAGCTAATGCTCATGAGGTGCAGAAAAAGTTTAGAGGAAAATTTCTTTGTTTTTTTCATATTTCACTAGGTTACATACATAGATTATCTGTTCTGTTACAGCTGTTTATAGCTTACTTAAGCTAGTACTTGTTTGGCTGATATGCCAAATCAAAATCAGTGTCTATTACAGCTGTTTTTAGAAAAGCCCCGTGGCTTAAACTGGGAACAGTTGTGCTGCATTTTAAGAATTTAATAAATTGTTAAAGTGCCAAAACCACACAAAAGGCACAAAAAGGTCTCCTTCCAAATTTTAGGCAAAAATTTTGTAGTAAGACAAAATTCCTACCATTAAATTTACAAGGACTTTTAAAGCCTTTTAACATTGAAATGTATCAGGGCCAGCTTTTTTCGTGACAATTTCCTTGTTAGTAGAATCTGTGGATGATAATGCTACAGTACTATGAACTGTTTCTATATGTTGACTTTATTTGAAAGTATGTAATTGCTGAGGGAATACTGAAAGAGTGTTATAAGTTAGCACTTTAAAGGAACAAATGTTTCAAATGCTAATGCAGGGTCAGCAAAATCAATTGTCTGTATTGCCCAGCTTGTCTGGACAAGTGAAAATTTTCAAGAATTAACTATGTAAATATCATACGGACAAATTAAAAAATGCTTCATATAAAAAACAGACAAGTAAGTCAAAATCTGATTTTGCCGGCCCTGGCTAATGTTTATGATGAATTGACCATAAACATCCTAATTTGCCAATTATTTTGAAATTTATAAATACTTCTTGCAGTACACAGATTCGTACACAGTTGAAGCGGAAAGCCTATGAAGATGCTGGACTTCCACCTCCATCTGAACCCTCCCCTAAGAAACAAAGTACACAGAAACAACAACAACAGGTTGTAGAACAACAATCAGCGAAAAAACAAGAGAGAAGAGGTTTGAATCTCCCAACAATTTGAGCCGTGTCACGACAAAACCAACATAGCAGGGTGATCCAAAATATCTGATACCATTTCAGTGTCTTGTATGTTTTACATACATCGCACGATTTTAAATATCAACACACATATTTAAACTAGAGATTTTAAAGTTTTATTTAACATTAAAGTCATTCTGTTTGATAAAAAAAATAAAAATGAATTAGACCGAACAAAATTTACAACAAATGTTCAATGTGACGTTCATTTTGTGCTACTACGACGTCAAGCCTCCTCTTAAAATTTTCAATAGCGTTAACACACATTGCAGGTCTATTTTTTCTTATTTTTCTACGAATGGCTGACTTTAGCTGCTCAAAGGTGTCTGGCTTTGGATTATAAACATTATCTTTTAAGTGTCCCCATAGAAAGAAATCTAATGGATTTAGATCAGGTGAGTGTGGAGGCCAGACTTTGTCTGATTTAAATGAGATAATATTTTGCCAAATGTTTCTTTTAACCATTCAAACACGTGCCCCACAATGTGCGGTGCCGCTCCATCTTGCTGAAACCATATTGTATTAATTTTAACACCTTTTCTTCGTAAGGCTAAAAGAAATTTTGTCTTCAAGAGAGAAAAATATCTCTCACTATTTATTGTTTTGGTTTCACCTTTCGATTAAAAAAGAATGGCTGTGGCTTGATCTTGGTGGTTCACTGTTGTTGTGTCAGCTATCCTCAACTGACCCAGTCTGTTGAAAGCTATTTACCAGCTGATGCACTTGAACCCTCGTAGTCTGTCATCGTCAGGATATTTTTTCTGCATCATGCGTATAACAGTAACTGGAGACTTAGTCTCAAAATTAAGTTTAACTACTTTTGCAGCCTTCTGTTTTGACGTCGCCAAATTGAAAAACAACTATTATTTGATTACGTCATCTATGACATCGTGACGTCAACGTTTTGCCATAAATTCCTCATGAGAGAAACTTATGACAATAATCTTTAAAATGGTATATAGAACTTAATTATTGCACCAGGAATGACTTATTTATTCAACTTCAAAACAGAATCAGATATTTTGGATCACCCTGCAACCAGCATGGATCCAGACCAGCGTGCGCATCCACGCAGTCTGATCAGGATCCATGCTGTTTGCTATCAGTTTCTGTAATTGTAATATGGTAAGTGAACAGCATGGATCCTGATCAAGCTGCGTGGATGCACAGGCTGGTCTGGATCCATGCTGGTCGCAAACGCACTGTTGGTTTTGTCATGGAGCGGCTCATTTATATCCTTGTCATGAAATGAGATGTTCATGATGATTTTCATATAAAAGAGCAGAATGTCTTGTCTTTATTTAAAGGGTATTTTATTTAATTTACAAATGGTGAAATTATGGTATTACATAATCTTACATTAATTTGCTGGAAACATAGAGTTGCAGCATAGAATGTCTCAGTTGCTTAACACATATGAATATTGTACTTAAACAGAATAAAATCTTCTGGAATAGTATATTATGCTGCTGTTTAAAGTACAAGTAATGCTTTTGGTTTAAACATATTTTTATTCAGATAATATATACATGTTATTAATTTACAATTTAAGCAGAAAGGAATTGGACCGAGAGCTACAATAGCTCATGGTAGTCCTCTCCTTTATGTAATGCTTTTCTGTTCAGTAATAATTTTATACATGCACCAATCACTCTTCAGGACTGGTACAAACACATTTCTTCCATATCGGCACTTTATATAAGAAGTGTCTGAGTATGTCCAAGTCCTACAAAGTTCACAACTATTTTCTTATACAACACCAATACTGGTTAATTCATATATACAAAAAAAGTGATCTATTCAAGTTTAAAAACTTATTTCACAAATGAGGTTGAAAACAATATATTTATCTAAGCTTAGCACTTCTTCCAATCAAATTTCCTGTGTCTGTCATTTGCCCCAAAAAAAACTTTAACATTGTCTTTGTTGTATATTTTCAGAAGTGACATTGAGTGCTTTAAATGCACCTGAAAGTGACGTTGATATTGAAGGTCTAGGAGAAGCTGGCGGTTCGAAGAAATTAGATTTTGATTCAGGTATTTATTTTGTAAAGGAATCAGTTATATTTTTCTTTTCACCCTTTATAATAGGGAATTGGACCACATATGCTCTATTGGAATTTCTTTGAGTGGAAAAATAAGGTACTGCACTGTTCAGTTGGCACATGTTTAGAAAAAGTAAAAATAAATAAAGGTTATGTAAGAAACAGTCTCTAAACCATTTAAATATAAAACTCACGTTTGAAGGAAATATTTATTTATTTCTGACACATAATGTGCCTTTAAGATATTTAACATGGTAAATGGCTTATTTCTTTATTTTGATGTGCTATTTTTAGCTCGACTATACGAAGTATATGGAGAGCTGTCCTACTCGCCCCGACGTCGGCGTCCGCATCCAGATTTCAGATTAAAGTTTTGGTGCAGTAAAATATTTTTCACTATAACTTTGTCATTTCTTAAGGTATCAACTTCAAACTTCAAATATATATTCCTTATCATCAACCACATCTTATGTGACAAGGTTCATAACTCTAGCACCAATATTTTCAAATTTATCTCCCCTTGAACTTAGAATTTTCCTTAAAAAATACTATTTTTTTACTGTAACTTCTTTACTTCTTAAGGGATCAACCTCATACTTCAAATATATGTACCTTATCATCATCCCCATCTTATGTGACAAGGTTCATAACTCTAGCACCAATATTTTCAGATTTATCTCCCCTTGAACTTAGAATTTTCCTCAAAAAATACGATTTCTTACTGTTTCTTCTTTATTTCTTAAGGGATCAACCTCATACTTCAAATATATTTACGTTATCATCATCCCCATCTAATGTGACAAGGTTCATAACTCTAGCACCAATATTTTCAGATTTATCTCCCTTTGAACTTAGAATTTTCCATACAAAATATTATTTTTTACTATAACTTATTTATTTCTAAAGGGATCAACTTCATACTTCAAATATATTTACGTTATCATCATCCACATCTTATGTGACAAGGTTCATAACTCTAGCACCAATATTGCAAGAATTATCTCCCCATAAACTTAGATTTATTTACTAGAAAAATGTTAATTTTTATTTTAACTTTTTTATTTTTAAAGGTATCTACCTCAAACTTCAAATACTTATTCCTTATCATCAATTACATTTTATGTGACAATTTTCATAACTCTTGAAGCAATATTTACAGATTTATCTCTCTTTGAACTTGGGATTTTCTTCAAGAAATATAATAACTTCTTTATTTTTTAATCTATCTACTTCAAACTTCAAATATATATTTCTTATCATTACACAAATGTTGTGTGGCAAGGTCCATAACTCTAGCATGACTATTTCTAGAATTATTCCCCTTGATCTTGGAATTTATGTTAACAAATGTTATTTTTTTACTATAACTTAATACATAATTATACATAATTGATTTTTCTTTCATAGTTTTGTCCTCCTTACTGCGTCCAGTATTTTATTAGTCGAGCTTCGCTGTCTCCTGTGACAGCTCTTGTTAAATACCCTTATCACAATACTTTTCTGAACATCCTGTACAAGTTTCTTTTTATGTCAAAAGATTCTAACAATTATTATGAAAACTTATTTGTTCATATTTACATACATGTAAATCTGTTGTTCTTTTGTTTAAAGTATGATATGCTGAATGAATTAATTACACACAGAGAAACTATAAGGTGTTTTGTATTTCAGATCTGGATTCAAGTTTATTATAAACATGTGACGGAAAATGAAATGTTTGATATGAACTTCTACTAAGAGAAGACTAACTACATTCTTTTCATCACAAGAATGAAATGGCATTCACTGGTTATGAGGGCATGCTCCTAGTTTTAATCACAACTGAAAGATTTTAAATCATTTTACGTGGGATGTGTCATTTTATAGAGGGGGATAATCCAATTCAGTGTAGTGCACAGAATTTGTTAATACGCTTTATATTCCCTGGCTAACATGGGCATTACATGTATATATCCTCTACATATTCTTTTCTGACCATTTTTTTTGTCATCACTGCTATAAAATAAAATGTCCATTACATATTGGCAGCATAGTTTTAGACATGTACTTTTTGGACTGGACACCTGCTTCTTTATGAAATATGTTTAGATGCATTTTCATAATTCCTAGACAATTTAATAATTAGTCAAAATTATTTTGATTTTTTCTAGTGTGAATGTATTATTGATCAACTGAAAAATATCAATAATACATGAATATTGTTTCTATCAAAGATAGCTCTAAGATGTACACAAATAAATGCCATTATACAAATGCAATATTTTTTTTGCTGAATATAATCTATTCAGAATGGTGTAAACTTGGGACTGTCAGTATGTGTTCATTGTATATTTATTGGAAATTAACAGGCAGCTAGTGGAGTTTTCTATAATAACTTCAAATGTTTATGCCCCCACAATGTGGGTGCATATAGCGTTGCACTTGTCCGTCCGTCCGTACGTCCCGAAATCTTGTGAACGCAACTCCTCTTAAACCGAATGGCAGATTTTGCTTAAACTTACAGGGATGAACAACCTTAATGTGTAGATGGTAGTAAAGGAAGGAATTTTCGCTGCGACCAAATTTAACAGAGTTATGGCCCTTTGTTGATTTTTTCACTAGATACTATGTAGAAATTTTGTGAACGCAACTCCTCTTAAACCGGATGGCAGATTTTGCTTAAACTTACAGGGATGAACAACCTTAATGTGTAGATGGTAGTAAAGGAAGGAATTTTTGCTGCAACCAAATTTAACAGAATTATGGCCCTTTGTTGATTTTTTCACTATATACTATGTAGAAATTTTGTGAACGCAACTCCTCTTAAACCGGATGGCAGATTTTGCTTTAACTTACAGGGATGAACAACCTTAAGGTGTAGATGGTAGTAAAGGAAGGAATTTTTGCTGCGACCAGATTTAACAGAATTATGGCCTTTGTTGATTTTTTCACTATATACTATGTAGAAATGTTGTGAATGCAACTCCTCTTAAACCGGATGGCAGATTTTGCTTAAACTTACAGGGATGAATAACCTTAAGGTGTAGATGGTAGGAAAGGAAGGAATTTTTGCTGCGACCAAATTTAACAGAATTATGGCCCTTTGTTGATTTTTAGTTTTCAACTTGTGGCATGTAGTTCAAAAAATATTTGACCTAGAGTCATAAGATTGACAGAACAGTGGCGTGTGGGGGCATCGGTGTCCTATGGACACATTTCTAGTTTATTTCTAAATTGTTCTGCATTACAAATATATTTTTTTTTTGTTCTAAAATATGGTTCTTAACTGTTAATATTGTTTCATTAAAACCCAAAAAAAAGTATTTTGAATATTTTGAACGATATAATAAAGTTCATATTCTAAATTTTCGTAATCCCTGTTAAGATTTAAATATCCGAGATTGATCTGGTATTGCACTTTAAATCATGATTTTGGTAATATTTATGTTAATTTATTAATAACTAAGTAAAGTACTAGTACTACTTTACTATATAAATGATATACTACATTTGTATATACACGTTTGTGAGTTATTACGCAGTTTTATCAAAATATCATTGTCAAAATTCCAAATTATTTTGAATGTATTGGAATACATATCGAGTATTTATTTACCAATGAATTTTAGACATTTTGTCTATTAAATACCGTCTTGTATTATTTATAGTCATTGTGAAACCATGTTATATGAAGTAATCATTGAGCAATATTCTTTTTAATTAAGGTGGGGGAGGAAGGCTAGTCATTTTGCAGACCATTTATGTTGGCTAATCAGTTGTTTACAAACTATTATTGGCTAGATGCTGTGGTGTTCCAGATAACATAAAAAATTATCCCATATCCCTCAAATTACTTGTCAGATTTACTTCTATTTTGTTTTGTAGAATCAATTTAGAACTGCAAATTTATCATGTTGAACCAATTTGCCAATCAAAGGTATATACATGTGTAATCTTTTCAGTATCTCATGAACTTCTTGTTTATCTTAACAAGTTTAATAGTAGTCTAGTGACAATATTTGACTTATTCTTGATATTTTAATTTACTGACTAAAATGAATGAATGAAATTTCCATGTTGTATAACATTGCCATGTTTGTGCTTTTAATTATACTTTTATGTTTTCATTTGTAATACACAGGTCCCACATTATTTGTATATATACCATTTTATCATTCATGGAAATAAAAACTTATAAAGCCTGAGCAACTCTCTTTTATTATGCTCCCCCAAAAAATTTGTCTACATGCTTCAAAGTACACAAGATAGAGAGAACAAAATGGTCAATCACCCCTAAATACAACTGCTTAACTGGCTATCATCAGGCGAGACATGATCATTGCTAGCTCTTGCACTTGTTTCAAGTTATTATCCCGCCGAAAAGACGGCGGGGGATATAGAAATAGTCTCCGTCCGTCCTTCCGTCTGTCCGACATTTTTGTCCGGAGCATATCTCAAAAAGTATTTGAGGTATCAACTTGAAACTTCATAGGTGGATAGACCGCATTGAGGAGAAGTGCAGTGCACAAGAATGATAACTATTCTGCATAGTTTTTGAGTTATTGCCCTTTGTTATTTTTCAAAATTAATTTTTGTCCAGAGCATAACTCACAAAGCCTTTGAGATATCAACATGAAACTTCATAGGTGCATAGATCTCACTCAAAGAGGTGTGCAGTGCAGAAGAATGATAACTCTACCTTTCATAATTTTTGAGTTATTGCCCTTTGTTATTTTTCATACTTAATTTTTCACCTGAGTGGAGCATAACTCAACAAGAGCTGTCGGTAGGACAGCAACGCTCGACTATTCTTAGTGCTTGATAGTAAAAAAAATGCTTGATACAGTTACCTCCTCCTGTTTACAGGTTGGGGTCATGATGGTGAACAAGTGTGCAAAGTTTCAAAGCCATATGTCAATGGACTTTGAAAATATTTGAACTATTACAAAAACTTTAACGTAAATTCTAAGTCGAAAAAGGGGCATAATTCTGTCAAAATGCTTGATAGAGTTACCTCCTCCTGTTTACAGGTTGGGGTCATGATGTTGAACAAGTGTGCCAAGTTGCAAAGCCATATGTCAATGGACTTTGAAAATATTTGAACTATTACAAAAACTTTAACGTAAATTCTAAGTCGAAAAAGGGGCATAATTCTGTCAAAATGCTTGATAGAGTTACCTCCTCTTGTCTACAAGTTGGGGTCATGATGTTAAACAAGTGTGCAAAGTTTCAAAGCCATATGTCAATGGACTTTGAAAATATTTGAACTATTACAAAAACTTTAACGTAAATTCTAAGTCGAAAAAGGGGCATAATTCTGTCAAAATGCTTGATAGAGTTACCTCCTCTTGTCTACAGGTTGGGGTCATGATGGTGAACAAGTGTGCAAAGTTTCAAAGCCATATGTCAATGGACTTTGAAAATAATTGAACTATTACAAAAACTTTAACGTAAATTCTAAGTCGAAAAAGGGGCATAATTCTGTCAAAATGCTTGATAGAGTTACCTCCTCTTGTCTACAGGTTGGGGTCATGATGGTGAACAAGTGTGCAAAGTTTCAAAGCCATATGTCAATGGACTTTGAAAATATTTGAACTATTACAAAAACTTTAACGTAAATTCTAAGTCGAAAAAGGGGCATAATTCTGTCAAAATGCTTGATAGAGTTACCTCCTCCTGTCTACAGGTTGGGGTCATGATGGTGAACAAGTGTGCAAAGTTTCAAAGCCATATGTCTATGGACTTTGAAAATATTTGAACTATTACAAAAACTTTAACATAAGTGATTACGCCGACGCCGACGCTCGGGTGACTGCAATAGCTCTACTTATTCTTATCGAATAGTCGAGCTAAAAAGTGTTTGAGATATCAACATGAAATGTCAAATGTGGATAGATCTAATTGAGGAGGAATACTGTGCGCAAGAATGATAACTCTTCCCTTTACAATTTTTGAGTTATTGCCCTTTTTTCTTTTTCATACTATTTTGTCTGGAGCTTATCTCAAAAAGTATTTGAGGTATCAACTTGAAACTTTATAACTGGATGGATCTCATTGAGGAGGAGTGCAATGCACAAGAATGATAACTGACCTGCATAATTTTTGAGTTATTGCCCTTTGTTATTTTTCATACTTAATTTTTCACCCGATTGGAGCATAACTCAAAAGTGTTTGAGATGCGAAATGTCATAGATGGATAGATCTTATTCAGGAGGAATGCTGTGCACAAGAATGATAACTCTTTTCTATATTATTTTTGAGTTATTGCCCTTTGTTTTTTTCCCGGAGCTTATCTCAAAAATTATTTGAGGTATCAACTTGAAACTTCATAGGTGGATAGATTTTACTGAGGAGGGGTGCAGCACACAGGAATGATTACCTACCCTGCATTATTTTTCAGTTATTGCCCTTTGTTATTTTCAGCCATCAGTATTCACATTGTTTTCAAATCTGTAATCACTTCAGCCATCAGTTTTCATTACCAAAAGACCTCTTAAAATGGAATTATTCTGCTTTATACATATAAATTCTTTAAATGAGCAAACACATTCGGCGGGGGATGGCCATGTTGACATGGCTCTTCTTCAAATTATTCATACAGTTCAATCTTAATATTCCAACCAGGCTGCAGGTAACTGTTAAAAGATGTTGATGGTTATATTATGTTAACCCTGATTAGCCATGAAATGGCCAATAACATCTGTTTCAAAACCCTTCAAGGGTTTGTCTTGCATACAAAAATAGGTCTACTTTTTTTCTATCCTCCAAAAGCTCAAATGTTTCACAATATTTACAAGAGGAATACAATCCTAAAGATTAAGGGCTTGACTGTTTGGAGGAATCTTCAATGGACCTTTCTGGTTTTTCATAACATAACATTTAGCCACACCTTTTCCATTCACCTCTTACCAAGCACCAATGGAAACATCGGCTGCAATATATTCAGACATGTCTCTTCTAGAATGTTAATGATCTGCAGTCATTAATTTGACTAGTTGCTGATCACATTTTTCTAGATACTTATACAGCAGCAAGTGCCATGTTGCAGCCGTAAAGTTGCCCCATACTTCACTTATGTCCTTCGGGATTACTGATTCCAACATTTTTTGTTGAAAATTGAGTACTGCTCAAGCCGGTGCTAGGGGGTTTGAGGGATATTGCATTTTTTCATTATTCCTCATGTACAGACTCAGTCTGCACTTTGGTGATTCTGAGAGATCACTTTTTTTTCAAGATATTTGTATTAAATTTAGAAAACAAAAATAACAAAAACAAAGTAGCAATGTGAGAGGATAACAATTTATTATCATACCTTGGAAAATACTGCTAATATATGCCCAGTAACATTATATATATTATTCATCACAATTCTAAATTAACAATCCCTTAATAAAGCATTATACAAATCATGGAATACACTGACATTATCTAACTAAATTATAAATGAGTCCTTCATTATATAATATATGTTATCTACAGTTGTTCATATAAGGAACAAAATTCACATCAAGACAATAAAAGATACCTTCTTCTTAACTTTGACTTACATTAATTAATACTTACAAATGTAAATACAGCGGGATGCCATGAAACTTCAAATCCAAAACATTAAATTTGAAAAAAAAAAAAAAAAAATCTCCAAAAAAGAAAAAAAACAAAGATTAATATAATTTTCAGAGACAAATTGTTAGTTTTGTGAAGTTAACTAAATGCTTGGTTAGTTAATTTCGATAATAACAGTGTTTCTATTTCTCAAAATGATGGATACACAATATTGATTCTCGTATATATGTTTTAAACCATGACTTGCTTAGTTCCAGCTAGTTTTAACAATCATTTGAATATATACAAAGCACATACAAAACAAAATGCACCTTTTAATTTTGATCATGCTTGTACATCATAATGCAATTTGCAAGCAAAACCCTACAAATATCTTACACATGAACAATTAAATCATTTCAAGAAAAAGGTGTTTTAACAGTTTTTTTTAAAACATAGTTACGGTCTTTGGTACAATATGGATGATTACAAACATGTATTATAACATTCAAACATCAGACATACACAGTGACTATATTGCTTATTTATTTTGCATGATTATCGTTTGAAGTCTTTTTCATGATTTAAAGACTTTTGTGTAAATACGAAGACTTTGGTATAAAATGCGGAAGCCTAGCAATTTCAAAGCATTAAAGTAGACAATTTCAAAGCATTAAAGCAAACAATTTCAATGCATTAAATTATCAAATGACAAATATACAAGAAGAACAAATGTTTCAATTTAACTGTTTTCATATTATGTACCTTTTATTCACAAGCCATATTACAGGAATACCATTATCATATGAAATTGCTTGATTTCAATTACTTGATTGATTTCAATTAGTTTTTAATTATGTATTATTAATAATTCTTTATATTACACATTTAAATTGTCACAAGGTAATCAACACAAAAGCCACAGAGTAAAATCATTTTACAAAAAGTAAAAGGCAACAAAACTTGACCGTGCCAATTATTGATGTTGCTGTTTCGTTAAGCTTTACAATATCACATGATAATAGAAATCTAACATTAATTTTGCTACCATTTCAAATAAAACTTACATTAAACATGTCCAAGAAATGTTATAAAACTAAGTCATAACATTCTTCTAGACTTGTTTAATTTAATACCTTGTCCAAATAAAATGACAACTGATATATAGTCCTATACAAATGACAAGCATAAATCTACCAAACTGTATTACACACATGTATAGACAACCTTTAATATTTATTAAAACAGAAAGATCCTGCAAACACTGTCATATTTCTGGTGCAGATTGTGTAAGATGTGCATGAATACAATAATATGATATTATCAAATTTACATCAATAGTTTGAACTGGTATGTAGTGTGCTTGGCTCTGGGTATTTAACGGCAGTGAAGATCAACCATGTACAAGCAAAATGTCCTAAATGAAGCTGGTACTGTGTAATAATCTCTCCTAATGCCAGAACAAATTCACTATAACATACATGTATATAAATCTTGAATAAACAATAATGGCACAAATAATTAACATTCATATCAGATTACATGTATATAGAGAAAAACAAGAATTCTAGATTAACATAACATGTACTTTATTACCCATACCCCCTTACTGTTCCAGAAATTTAATGTTTTTTTTATAACAGTTTTCTGTCCTCAGTAAAAAAAAAAAATCAAAAATAAGGTAATAATTAAAATTTGGTACTTATTTAACACTTGTGTAACTTTTTAATTTTGTTTTAACTGACCCATCGAAACGCAAGTACACAAAGCCTTTTCCCTAGTTAAAAACATTTCTTAAATTATTTAAAATGATTAAGTTCATCTAGAAGAAAAAAATTAAAGAAGAATTTGCTATCATACTTAGCAACAAATAACTACATATACACAAAACAGTTGACATGACTTATTATTTCACACAATTATCTTATGTATAAAATCATTCAAATTTCTTGACAGGCAGATATTCATGGAATTTGGCTGTCTTCATAAGCATATTAATATTTACCCATACTTTGAAGTTACGGCTTGTTCTATAAACAACAAAATTGCATAAAATTCTTTAATATTGAACAATACCAGATTCTATCTGAACCAGTAAATAGCTGGAGCAAACCATGGCAGCTTGTTCAATTGTAACAGTCATTTTCAATTGATATGACACTTTTTATTACAGATATCATTTGGAAACTTTACATGTTGATTGCTTTTATACTTGACTGTACATGAACATGGAAAATTTCACACACACTCAAATCAACCAATGGCTTTAAAACAGCATTCTGCAGCATCCAACACAGGTAATAATATATTGGACGGCCACAATGTACAAATCAGTCTCAGACACTGAATGCAAATAATGGGTATAGAATAAAGTTATAATATTCTTGGATAGCATACTAGTACAATGTATTATAAACACAATGATTAATCTCTTTAAGGGCAATCAAGATGGTTATGCTAAAAATAGAAATTTCACATGATCAATTAAGGTCAATCAAGATGGTTATGCTAAAAATAGAAATTTCACATGATCAATTAAGGTCAATCAAGATGGTTATGCTAAAAATAGAAATTTCACATGATCAATTAAGGTCAATCAAGATGGTTATGCTAAAAATAGAAATTTCACATGATCAATTAAGGTCAATCAAGATGGTTATGCTAAAAAAAGAAATTTCACATGATCAGTTATATAAACATTTCAATAAAAGATTCAACATTCAAATAAAACAGAATGTTTCTTGACAATGAAAAATTTGGTACATGTAAAATTAAATGTATTTGTATTTCCGGTTGAATTTGTTTTAATATGTATCGTAATCTTTACAAATCTTCATCTTTCAATATCAAATATAAGATATATTATCCAAAAATTAAAGATTAAAGTTACTAAATAACTATATAAAATAATAACCATATAAAATACTTTAAAACGGATATAATTTTTACAAGGGTCTCGTATAAATATCTAACAAAAAAGCTTGATAAATTGTCTGAACTTTAAATACAACAGAAACTAACATAAATATCTTTTTTTACTATCTAAATTTCAATTTCAAAAAGGAAAGCAATGCAGTAAAATGAAAAGAAAACTTCAAAAGAACATCATACTTACTGTAAAACACATGGTATAATCTATTATAACAGAAAGAAAGAAAGAAATTTGAAATTAAATCCAGACTTGTAATAACCTATCTAGTCCTATGATGAAACAGGAAAATATGAACTACATTAATACATTTAACGAAAAAAAAAACAACTACAAAATTACAAAGTATATATACATGTATTACTCTCTCAAGGGTTATAGGACACAAAAATCTAACACAACGTAAATGTTTAGCATATTAAAACACTCTATCAAAGTTAATATAACAGTGTCTTGCACCAGTCAAATATAAGTGTATAATCATATATAAACCCCTCTTTTTCTGAATTCCTATATTACACTGAACTTCTGGTCAATGTCTCAGTTCTTATGCACCTGTCATTGTTACACCTAGATCCCCAAATTTTAGAGGGGTGAAAACTAAAAGGCCAATTTTCTACCTTCCAGCTTTCACCCTAAGGTATTGGCTTTATTTTTGCAAAGGAAACCGACTTGGATACAGTATTATCAACACTGACAGGGAACTCACAAGGTGGGAATATTAATCAGCTGAACGCCTCCAAAAGGGTAAAGATTTCAACCAGCGCTTTGCTTAAGTTCACGCCATTTGTCTGAGAAATGTTCCGAGATTGGGGAGAGTTACCAATGACTAATGCATGTCCATCTACGTGGAAAAGTTTTGTTAATTGTATCAGAGCTAAAATTCAATGAAGCGTGAATAAAATTACGGAAAAAATGAAGAAGAAGAGGACTAAAAAATTAGTTTTACGTTGATGTGACATTATGCCCAACCAAGTGTAAATTACCACTGTAAAAGTCAAATAACTTTACATTCTGGTATTATTGTTATCAATTATATATTTTTATATGCAAAAATGATAAATAACCCACATAACCCAAGGAAATTTCTATAAATAGCCTTCGGAATTTGTCCGTAGCATCCAACTGATAAAAGTTTTAAATTTTGTGTAGTTTTATTAATTTTTTCACAAACGTTGTCATTGTCTGTTATTGATCAATTAAAATTACAATAGTCGATCTTTTGAAATATAGTAATTCAGCTCAACAGGTGATAGCAAAAAACACAAGCATAATGTCACTTTCATATTTTTTTTTTCCTCCCACAAATGTTGAATTCAATATTAGAACAACTAAAATATATTACAGAGTCACTAATGTATACATGAACATTAAACAACAAGTATAAAACAACAACAAAAATAGATTATAGCAGAAAATAATAGCACTTTATGCGAGATATTATGGCAAAGTGTAAAAAAATAAATTTAAGCAGAAAGATCAGCAATGATTATAACATTTGCACCAAATAAAGCATTGTCTTTTTTGTTCATCGTATTTCACAAAGTAAAATCATTTAAATGTACATTCCACTTTTGACTAGTCAATCATGATTTATCATGTACAGCACATAATTATTATAAATGTATTTTCTACTTTTAGTAAATACTATTCATAATTATTATTATTATTATTATGTTACACTACATGTACTATTGCATTCTAATATATTATAATATAATAATATATATACATGTGTATATATTATCATGTATATAATGTTTAAATTCTACATATCATGAAGCATGTGTTAATCCAGAAGTGCTTTGTACCATAGTGACTACATTACCAGAACTAAGAATAAAGTGTGTTTTTTTATATACCGGTATATTTCATAGTGAAATTAAATTTTTGATGACTGCAAATTCTTATTATTCTTTTTTTTATATAAAACATCAAATTTACACACTTTTTACCAATCTCCTATACATTTACTGTATTTTGACAAAACTGTCATACATTGTATTAACAAAACATTAAACAGATTTGGACTTCAAGCAATATGCAGTAGTAACGTTATTAATTAACAGTGAAATTGTATAAAGTAACAGCATGCCGTCTGCAAGTGAAGATTTTAATCAAAAGCATTTGTTAAATCAATTAAAAAAGCTGGAACAAGATAGATATTTTCAGATAAGTTCTGTGGCAGATTATAGTACAAAATAAAAGACATTACAGTGATCATTTTACACTGGATTTAAACATCATAGTTTAAAAAAAATCTGTACTGTATAGTGAATAATGCCAATGTCTTGCTGTTTAATGATGAAAAGTTCAATCAAAGCTGCAAACTTCCAGACGAAAGTTATTTCTTAAAGAAAATTTAAGAAGAGTTTTAAATAGTAAAACTATTTACGTCATTTGAAAAAAATAAAAGAATTAAAGCTTGTGTATGGCATTCTATGTAAACAACCACTAACATCTGGATGTATGCAGCTTTAGATAATGAGAACTACTTTTTTAATGTGAAAATAGGCATTTGGATTTGAGGCTATTTTCATAAGCAAAATGGCTGCCACTTTTTAAAATGAGCATATCATTCTCGTTATTCAACATTTTCCCAATGAACCATTCAAGTAAATAGACAAGATAGACAGAAGTATTATTGTACATTTTCTCATGACCTTTGACATATACATTTACTCATGCACTTTATAAATTTGTTTAATCTAATGATACATGTAGTAAAGCTGCCTTGTGTAAGAAAATCTTTTAAAAAAAACACCCAAGGTGCCACCATTACATACTATTTGATCAGGTTTGATAAAAACTTGCAACTGAAATTTGTATTTACAGGAAAATGTGCTGCTCGACCAAACAAATTTAGCCACTTTACAGAGTATACATTGTATTTGTTTTTCTAACCCACGCATTTTAGGCAAGACTGTATGAAATATAAAACACCGCAATTCTTTGCAAATCAAATATAAAATTGCACCAACTCACCAAGATGTGTGTAACAAAGGTCTAGGAAGTGGAGGATAGAGGATAAACAGGAAAAATTGAGGTAGCAACTGATGTGGCATTTATTGCTGACAAGTTCGCCCAAGATAAGCAGAAAGATTTGAGCCGCGCCATGACAAAACTAACATATTGTGTTTGCAACCAGCATAGATCCAGACCAGCCTGCGCATCCACCCAGTCTGATCAGGATCCATGCTGTTCGCTTACAAAACCATATTACAAGTAGAGAAGATAGGAACAGACCTTGCTTAAATGATTGCTAATCTACAGTTTATTAAAGCAAGCCTCAACACATCAGAATTTTCAACGATTTAAACAAACAATTATTATGAGTTACAAAGAAAATTGTGTCGGATAGCTTTTAAAACTTTTAACATATTAAAGCCATGTGTATATTAAAAATGTTAGTTAACAAGAAATTAACTTTTAAAATAACACAGCCATAGTAAAGTTAAAGCCGATCAACTAATTATTGTTTATTTTTTTTTTTTTTAAATATACAAACATACCATGTTCTTACATGGTTTTTAAAAGCACAACAAATTATGCATTTTAATACTTGTCAATAAATCAACATATAATATTGTAAAGATACATATTAAGGTAACTGTTTTTTTCTTTTTAAAAGAAAAACAGAGCATTCTACTATTCCTCGAAATGTCATTCCATCAATTATTTTCCTACCGTCCTACAGTTCTGAAGCAAACAACTAAGAATAATGCTCTGGGCATTCTATAAGCAGGTCAAACTTTTAAGGAGAAATTCTTCAAATATTGTTTCGTATACAAGTCTGCATTCATAGAGAGAAGAGATGGAAAAGTATATTTTGTTACGAGGTAGCTATAGCTATGTTTATGCTATATATATATTCAAATACATACTTTGTACCTGCGATGAAAAACCAAAGTTGCAAAGTTACTGAAAAGAAACAAGAAAAAGTAATGCTAGATTAATAATTTTTTTCCGACAGTGTTAAAATTTGACCCCTGAATCATTATTTTATGACCAATCTTCAAATGATACCAAAATAATTCAAGACTGGTTGCGCAACCAGTAAAGTATATTAATCTATCTGTAATTAAAATTCGACTCAAAATCTAATCTAAATCTCTATATAGCAGCTTTATGAACTCATTAACATATCATCATAACAGTGTATCCATGTCAAAACCATGGCAACGGAAATTTTTTATTAAACTGTTATTACTGATTTAAACTAAGTTCAATAAAACCACCTCATTTCTTTTTAGACGTAGTTTGAATATTTAAGCCAGATGTTTTAGAAGGAACTGCAGACCTTGCGGAAGCCGTGGCAGCACCTGGCCTAGGTTGAGTAGGTGGGGCTGGGCCTCTAGCTGAAGTTGTCCCTAGTGGGGCACCAAACCTAGACTGACCAGGGGCTGACACAGTAGGCTTTGGGCTCACAGGTCCAGGTGCTGTTGGTTTTGCTCCAACTGATATGGGTACAGTGGGCTTTGCACCAACTGGTGTGGGTAAAGTGGGTTTTGCACCAACAGGTGCAGGTACAGTTGGCTTTGGACCTACTGGTGCTGGCACAGTGGGCTTTGCACCAACAGGTACAGGTACCGTGGGCTTAGCACCAATTTGTGTAACAGTTGACTTTGCACCAACTGTTATGGGTACAGTGGGTTTTGCACCAACTGGTGCAGGAGCAGTTGGTTTTGGACCAACTGGTGCTGGCACAGTTGGCTTTGCAGCAACTGGTACAGATGTGGTAGACTTTACACTAATTGGAGTTGGCACTGAAGGCTTTGCATCACCTGGTGCCGGCACAGCGGGTTTTGTACCAACTGGTGCTTGTGCAGAAGGCTTTGCGCTCACTGGTGCAGGCCCAGTTGGCTTTTCACTAACTGGTGGTTTAGCTGTGGATATTACCTTTGGTTGAGCTTCAGGCTTTTTGGGAAGGGCAGCTTGTTTTTTTGGTTGTGATGTAGGTGTTGACTCTACTTTTTGTACTGATTGCGGACTTGTAACAGCTGGTTTCGTCTCCAATTTTGTTTCAAAAGGAAGGCCTATTCCTACTTGGGCTGTTCCTTTATCTGTATTATTTAAAGTCTCATCAATCTTTCTCTGAATATTCTCGAAAGAATCTTGACCAAGGTAGTCTATCTGACCTGCAAATATATCCAACAATTATACATTAGGAACACAAGATGATAGAACATTTCCCATCTATATCACCTACCTTTGCATGAATGGAACATTATATCATTTAGTGTTCTTCATGTCTTTATATCTTTTGAAAATGATAGAATAAGTGCAAACTTTTTAGAATATTGGTTGACGCATGTTTATTTGAATCTTGTATAATTATGCAAGCACAAAATTGTTTTTGAATATTGAACGTAATATTCCGTAAATCATCTTTTGTCTGCTGTAAAATCCATGTTTGTTAAATTACAATTTTATATTTGTTATAAGAACTGTATTATGCTGTATGCAAAATTTAACTTTTCTTTTCTATGCTAACAACTATTCATGAAAGGCCATATAATCTTTCAAAAATCTTAATAACTAATAAGTGTCTGATAATATTTGCTAATTATCGGACTTAGTGATTATATCATGCATTAAACTCAAACCATGCATTATTCTACTAAGTAAGTAAGTAAAGGCTTTATTTATCGAGGCTACACATTTGGTTTCCCAATCTTCCATGTGGGCCTCTAAGAAAAACATAATTTACAATATATACAACTACAATATAACAGAAATAATTGCAACAACATTGTAGTACAATGTACATTGAAATTATCAGAACAAGAAATACATGTTAATAATTTACAGTCCATTCATAGCATAAAACATGTCAAAGAAGTACATATCAAATTAAACAAAGTGGGAAATATGTTTTAGTTGGTACATCAAATGATAAGATTCTAATTTTGTTATAAAATGATTAATTTTTTAATGATGAAAAATGCCAGGATAGATATGAAGCTTGAAATTCCTGAACTGTTTTCGATTTTCTTATGTTAAGAGGGATATTATTCCATAATTTAGGGCCAGAGGTATACTAGGGATTTTCTGAAAAATTCTTTCTTAGGTCGTGGAACAGCTAGGTCTGAACTATTTGTAGATCTTAAGTTGCGCTCATGTTTTTGGTAAACAAATTGGAATTTACTTTGCATGTATTGTGGATATGGTAGGTCATTGATAGATTTAAACATTATGATTGCTTTTTTGTATATCATTCTGTCATCAAATCTCATCCAATTTAGTTCTTTAAACAAATCACTGGAGGGTGCATCGAAACTTTTATCTAGAATTATTCTTGCTGCTCTTTTTTGGAATTTTATGATTTCATTGAATCAGATCATTGCTGCAATTGCCCCAGATAGTACAGCAATAATCTAAGTGTGGTAATATGTATGAGTTAAAGAATAGTTTTCTTGCATGTAAGTCTACGGTATTGCTTGATTCTGAGAAGTAGGTATAACTGAGAGTTGCATTTTTTAAGTATCATTTCTATTTGGATTTTCCATTTTGAGTTTTACTATCGACAAAAACACCTAGTAACTTTTCGGTTTTCAGAAAATTGGATCATTTTGATCTTGAAGGTGTAAAGGTGGTAAATGAAGCTGTGTATTATTTGATGTAAGGTGCATTGCCTTTGTTTTCTGTGTATTTAAGACCATTGCATTTTGTATGCACCATTTGTTACATGTTTGAGGTTGGTTTGAAGTTTATCAATGTAGTTCTTGTGGTGAATGTCCTGATGCTGTAAGTGTGGTGTCATCTGCAAACATGTCTATTTCTGAGGTCTCTAAAAGAAGTGGGAGATCATTGAGTATATAATGAAAAGCAGGGCCCCCAAGGACAGATCCTTGGGGAACACCTGATAGTAACTTCTGCAGATTTCTGACAGTTTACCTGATACACTGACTTTCTGTGTTCTGTTTGCAAGATATGATGAAAACCATTTAATTGTATGATAAGAACAATGGGTAATAATGCAGTTTTCTGAATAAGAATTTTAGGTTTATCAAGGTCAAATGCTTTGGTTTAGGTCAAGAAAAAATTGTGCCAACTAGTTTCTCCATTATTTAATTGCATTTATCCAATGTTCAACTATGTTGTGTTAATGCTGTTTCACAAAGTGCTTGGTTCTGAATCCTGACTGGTGCCTTAAAAATAAACTTATGAGTTTCTAGAAATTGTTTTTAGATGATCAGATACATGCTTTTCAAATATTTTAGGAAATGAGTGGAAGTACAGATATTGGTCTGGTAATTATTTTTTTATCAGAATTTTGTCCTTTTTTAAAAATGGGTGTAACTTTTGATTGTTTTAATTTGGTAGGAAACTTTCCTGTTTGAATACTTAAATTGATAATACTATTCACTCAAAATGGATATCTATTTACCTAATTCAACAATTAAAACTTCAAAAATTTTCCCCTTTTCCCCCGTTAAATTTACGTTTTGCCCTCAGAACCGGGAAGCGGAGGGGGGGGTCCTTTAATTTCATGTAGCTAGTTTCCAAAAAAGCCAAAACAAAAAAGAAAATATCCACCCAACGTTAAAACAAGGAAAAAACAACATAAAAACTTTTACTTTTTTTACAATTTCCAATGTTACAATTTCCAATTTATACAAAAATAAAAATAATAATTATATAAGAATGATAATAAACTGTGATTTATATGTATAAATTGACAACTTGTGTAACTATATTTTAAGTTACCAGTATGTAAATATATTTAAGGTTTAAGGTAATTATCATTTTGTTTTGTTCTACCTGCTCAAATCTGTAGTGTCTATGATCTATAAATGACTTTTTGTTTAAACCTTCCAAAGTTATAAAACAGACTTTTCCAGCCTCAATTTTTGTACCGGTCAATTATCAATTCTGAGAATATCAAGACCAAAATTTAAAGTTGGTCAGCCAATAGTATTGAGCCTTAGTAGGTCAGATTGCACAATAATACAGGCTGGCCTGGCTCTATACTGAAGGCAAAGACCGATTGCTTTAAATTCCTGCAGATTCAACTTTAATATTTCATAATATCTGTAAAAATAAAGTTTCCTAAAACATACAAGGAATCGTCCAGGTAAAAGTTAGAAATCATCGTTATATTTTAATCTACAACCTGTTTAAGTTAAGTAAAGACAAAAGGCATGTTTTTACTGTCAGTATATAGAAAAGCAATTCTACTTTTATTACATAATTATGTTATCAGAAAGTTAGTTTCTAAAAGAAAACAATTCTTAATACTAAATGCTGTCACAAAAAATGAAATATGTACTAGTATATTAAACTGTTCCTGTTAATATCATATATTTATAAGTTTTTATTAAGATATCCAAATTGTAATTTTTTTTTGTGTAAAGAAAAGTGTGGAACATGCTCGGATAACTTCCAGATAATTATAAGATATAGAAATATCATCAGAGACAGTATGGCAGATAGAGTTCAAGTATTAAAAGCTTTATTTCTGAGGTATTAATATCAAATTGAAAATGTTGTAGAATTAATAAATTTCTAATGGAAAAAAAAACAAACAAAAACATAGTCGAAGGTCATAACTCATAATTAAATAAACTTAATAATCGATGGCTTGGTGCGAAAGGGTTGTAACTCATATTAAATAAAGAAGGAGATACAACCCTTTCGCACCAAGCTGTCGTTATATAAAATAATCATGTTTATATATTTATAACTTCAAAAAAGTCAGAACTTTTAACAGAACATATAACTGCATGCAAGTAAATTCATTAACTATTTATAACAGGTTATTAAACATCGAGGGCTTAGAGCGAAACTAGCCTATCTTTATATAGAAATAGAAGCAGATAGACTAGTTTCACTCTAAACCCTCGACATGTAAAAGCAATATTGGTTACAAAACATTCGGACAATTTTGGTCATTGTGTATATTATATATATATCTTAAGATTTTGAAAGAACTCTTTCTCAATGTAATTTTTTTTTTTCTAAATGAAAAAAAAAGAAACTTTCAATTTTGTACCTAAAATATGGCTAAATGACTTGAAATTAGATCCAAATATTGAATTGAAAACGGCAATGAAAAATACGTATACAAACATTTTCGAAACTTACATACAAGTATCACACATTATTGTACAAAAGGCCAAAAAAGAACTCTTGCATTCTCAAAGTGCATGTTATAATTGTATACCTCATATCCCGGTACTTTCATCCTGTCAAAATTCAGGTATTATTATACATAACAAAATATTTCTTATCTTCCTAATTGTGTGTTGTAAAGTAAGTCCGATTCTAACAAAAAAACTGCAACAAGTTGCTGGAGTTAATAAGGCAAGGAACTGTTGTTTTTCGTTTCACCTACACAGTATAAGCCATATGTCGACTTCCTAGCTCAACCAGTGGAGGAAGACCTTTGGTGCCCCTCTCTACATTATTTCAGGCACAAACAGGCACCTGAGTAGAACCACTGACGTTCCGTAAGCTAGCTGGATAGCTTCCTCACATGAAAGAATCCAAAGTCCCTGTCAGGATTTGAACCCACAACAATGAGAGGCAAGTAGAACGCAAGTACACTATGTATTAAACCTAAAGAGCATTACTTGAGATTTGGCTTTGACCACAGACAATGAGTGTACAGCCAAGCATAATATTTAAAACATTACTTAGTGATCATAGACCATTCTGTTTCCCTCACCTAAAAAACCTTGCAAAAACATCAAGGGTATAATGTTATATAAAGTTGAAGGTAAACTTCAATCAAACGTATTTCTACTTCTTGACAACCCATTGCTTAAATAAGAAATGTCATTTAAAGTTTGCTTTTTCTTTGTTTTTTCTTCTTCCGTATTTTTTTTTTTTTTTTCAAACTCGGATAGCTCTGACAGTTTGTTCAATTATTCAAAATCCAAGGAAGTCTAATTTTTATTTTTACTTTCACAATTGATTTTAAAGTATTGAATATTTTGAAAAAAGCAAAATGTCTGGACTGACCATCAACAAAATATATTCATCCATATTTCTAATTTAACTGTTTTTCTTGTATCAAATATTCCAAATTTAACTATGCCATGGTTCCATCCTTAGCGTTTAACTTCAGTTATATATGTTAAATTCTTGTAAACTGCAATTTAAAGAGTGCATACTTCAACACAAGAAATAAATGAACTGTGACTCAACCTTAACATGGTTTTCTATAAATCTGCATAACAAATACAAATCAATCAATCATTTAATCAATAAATCAAGTCTTCATTAGTTCTTGTGTGGAAACATACAATTTAGGACTAAAGTTTATACATACAGACAGTTTCCTTAAGGCAGTCATTTCATCCCTTACTCCCAAGTTATTGTTTATCTGGTCCTTACTTTCTCCAATTTTAAAGCAGTCACCATTTATTACTTCCAAAAAAGTCTCCTTTACATTGAATCATTTATCCCTTCCCTTTTTTATCCCCAAATATTTTTTTATCTGGTCATTTCTTTCTCCAACATAAAATCAACACAGTAACCCTTTCTTGCTGCTGATGACTTTTTTCCCCATTAAACCTTAATCCTATTCATTTTGTTTATCTGGTCCTAATACTTTTTCCAATGTTTAAAGCAGTCACCATGTCTTGATTCACAATAAAAAAACAACAATCCATTAAAGCTGCCATCCCATCCCTAAGTAGCAAACATTTTTCATGTGGTCCATTCTTTCTCCAACATTCATCACCTTTTCTTGCTTCTAAAACCTTTTTTACATTAGCGCAATCAATCCTTTCTTACATGAAATATCTTTTTTGACTGGTACCTAAAGCAGTCAGCCTTTCTTGCTTCCAAAGAATTTTCTCTACATTAAAGCAACCACCCTTCCCTTTCTCCTAAATGATTTTTATATACAAGTCCTTCTTGCTTACTACCAGTCTATCTCTCTTTTCTACAATATCACCCTTACTTTCCTCTGTATTCTCTAGCTCTCATTTTCTTCAAATTTGAACTGCCTGCTTTTCTTGAACAAACAGAATTTCCATTCTTTGAATCTGGTGAGTTTGAAAGCACTTTATAAGCAAACAAAATTTTCATTTTTAATTCTTGTATTCCAATAAAAAAACTCTATTTTCTTGAACTTTTACCCATTAATACTTAAGATCCCTTCAATCAAAATTCTGAGATTGCAATAAAAATAATTCAAAATACAAGCAAATATATGAATGACTTACAGAGGTATCCTCTACAATACTTGTCGGACTAGAAATTTCATTCTCCTTAGCCTCATTAATACTGATATCGTTTGATTCCCGCTCAGAATTTGTGTTTAATGCTTCCGGTTTGGATTCACCAGATTTGTGGTGCGCGATTGTGTAACCTGGGGGGTTGGGGTCTGGCTTTTTAGTTCCTTTCTCCCAGCCCTCCGTAATCCAGGGAGCACTATATGTCACTGGAGGAGGATTGGCTGGATTGATGTGAGATATTGGTTCTTCTGCATAATGCGACTCTAATTCTGAATAACTTCTTGGAATGACCGTTATTTCAGTAATATTATCTTCACCATTATTTTCCGTATTCTCAGAATTATTCCTATCTATTTTATGGCCCCAATTGGGGTTTATAAGGATAATTTCAGGGACAGTTCTTCAAAGACAAAAGGGGCCCTTTTTCTACTTTATGGCCATTGTCTTCGTTTAGGTTTTTTGCACTGGGGGGTGGGGGCCATGGTGAAAAAAGGGCTGAAAAGAAAACGAGAAAAAAATTTGGGAGACAGATAGAAGAAAAGAGACAGACAAGCAATACAGACAAATTATGACAGACAGAAATAAGAACATATTCACTTCAAAGACTGTAAGCAAAGGACACATTTAAACAAAAAATAGATGCTGCCATATAATTCTCAGACTCATTCCAAAACCACTTATATGCATGTCTAGTAACATTCTCTTAACCCTTGCCCCATCTCAATATCTGAAATGGACCCATCCATCTTTCAATCTGGACAAAACTATTCATTTTTTTTTTAGGGAAATTTTCCAAATATGTACCGAATAGTGAACAGTGCCGACCATGATGAAACGGCACAGATGTGCCACTCAATATCTTGGTTTGCACTGATCTCGTGTAGGTTCAGTCACTGCCAGCAGGCTAGGGGTTAAAAGCGATGTTAATCAGAGTAAAAGCTTATTTTAATATAGACCAGATCTTCTATTAGAATGCATTTGTCATTACATTTTGTTAGTGCCTTCATCATCTTATAGGCAATATTAAAGGCAGGGCATTGTTTAAATTTACAATAGGGTCTGTATACAATTCCGAATTATGCATTAAACCTAGAGTCCCGGTTTATGAAATTTCTGAGGGATATCATTCCCCGTAAAAAATGAAAACAGAAAAAAAGCTGCCCTTTGTGAAAAAAATAAGGTATCTATGAAATGCTCTCTCTCCTTTTTTCTTTACCTCTCTCTCTTGAATCAAATTTTGTAAGAAACATATATTGAAAAAAATCAAACTTTTAAATTTTTGGGGTTGCATAATTATGATATGTTTAGTGACCCTGTGACTTTTTGTCACAAAATTATTTTACAGGAGAGGACTCCCTTTTTTTCTTTTTGTCGGGAATAATATAATAAAAAAATTTTAAACCTTTGTGATTGGTTTTTTTGTTAGTACGTAATTGGAAAAAGTGCTTTTTTTTTGGAAATATTTTTTCGGACTTTTTTTTTAATTCTCAAAAATAAAGGTTCATGTAAAATACAAGATAAAAAATTTATTTTTCCAAATAAAGTTTAAAGGGGGCTCTAAACTTATAAATATGCCCGATTAAAAATTTAATAATGTAACGGGTTCCTGTTAAAACACTTTTTTACCCAGCCCTGTTAACTCACTAGAACAAATTATGAAATTTGGTTCAAAAAGACAAGGTTTTAAAAAATAAAATTACACATTTTCTTCAATTAACTTAAAAAAGTTCATTTTTAATTTTTAGCCTTTGAGAAAAAAACCCCACTTTTTTTTTTTTAAACCCTGAGCCTATTACTGAGCTATAATATGAAACCCTACATTGTTGATATCTTTAAAAGGAGGGCTAAAAAACTAATTTTTTAAGATGCAAAAGATGAAAGGGGAAAAGAAACATTTTCTCTATGAAAGGAAGAGGCAAATCAAATTTTTTTTTTAAGCAAATTTGAAAAGGGTTTAATTTTAAGGGGAAAAATCCAAATCCATTGGTTTATAGCAAAAAGCCCTTTAAATATTTCCATTTAAATTAAATTTTTAAAGTTTTGTGAAATATATTTGTAGAAGTTATAATTTTTTATTCGGAAGCTACCAGGGCCCTTTTTGTGATAAATTCCTTTAAACGGGCCTGGGGGAAAATTTGTTTTTTTTACCTTTTTTTTAACCTAAAAGACCCCCAAAACGGGGCCAAAGAACCCAAATTATGATGCTTTTTTATTTTTACCTTGAGGGTAAATAAAAAGGCCCAAAACCAAAAATTTATTGGGTCGAAATTTTTTAAAAAAATTTCCTTTTAGATGATTTTTCTATCTTAACTGCAAGGAGACAATTAATGAGCCAACCAACTTTATTTGAGGAAACTTGATAAAGAACCAATTTTACATGCTATATTGTGGTGGTGATCTCACCGACATTCACAAGAAGCTGGGGGGACAGGTTGATTTTTTAACTGCTCTGAAAAAAATTTAAAGTCAAAAGAGGGCTACACACAAAATAAAACCCTTGATTCCCTTTCAAAGAAAAGACATTATAGCATTTAAAGGGAAATCAGATACAATCAAAAAATCAGTTTTAAACCCTTTATGCATTTTCTTTGAACACTTGAAACTGAAGTTGTAACTAATTTTCAAATTCAGCACAAGTTTCTTCATATCTCAAAAGTTTTCTATCAAAACAAAAAAGTCTTCAATTTAGACAATTTCTTGTACACTGTTTTCAGGAAAGAAGATCAACTTCTGGTAGACTGTAAGATGTGCTTCTAGCTCAGATATTCGCGAGTTGGAAGGAGCATTTCGGTCATAATTATGTTCCCACCCTAAGGACACATCAATACTCAAGTTACTTCAATGAATGCACTCAAATATATCAATAAAATTTGCAAGAACTGTTTCACAAGCTAACATTCACATGTATGTTTAAACTGAAGTATATTAGACATTTAACAAGAGGGCCATGATGGCCCTAGATCGCTCACCTGACCCATCGAACTCATCCGAACAATTACCTAGACAAGCATTCTGACCAAGTTTCATGACAGGTAAGTCAAAAATGTGACCACTAGAGTGTTAACAAGGATTATCCATATTTTAGCAGTGTAACCTAGTTTTTTACCCAGGTGACCCATTTTCGAACTTGACCTAGAAATCATCAAAACAAACTTTCAGACCAATTTCCAGGATACTGAATGGATCAAAACAGTAGCCACTAAAGTGTTAACATGATTTTTCTTTTTTTAGCTCCCGTGACCTAGATTTTCATCTGAGATGACCCAAGTTCGAACTCATCTGAGCTATCACCTAGACAAGTATCAAACCAAGCTCCGGTGACTTAGTTTTTCATCCGAGATGACCCATGTTTGCACTCATATGAGAAATGACCTAAACAAGCATCCTGATCAAGTTTGATGACAATTGAGTCAAAAATGTGACCACTTGAATGTTAATAAGGTTTTTCCATATTTGGGCAGTGTCACCTAGTCTTTGACCCCAGATGACCCATATTCGAACTTGAACTAGAAATCATTAAAACAAACTTTCAGACCAATTTACAGGATATTTGGATCAAAACAGTAGCCATTAGAGTGTTAACAAGATTTTAGTATTTTCAGCTCCTGTGACCTAGCTTTTCATCCGAGATGACCCATGTTCGAACTCATCTGACCTATCACTTAGACAAGCATTCTGACCAAGTTTGATGATGTTTGAGGCAAAAATGTTACCACTAGAGTGTTAACAAGGTTTTTCTATTTTTAGCTCCTGTGACCTAGTTTTTCATCCGAGATGACCCATGTTCCAACTCATCTGATCTATCACCTAGACAAGCATCCGGACGAAGTTTGATGATGATTGAGGCAAAAATGTGACTGATAGAGTGTTAACAAGGTTTTTCTATTTTTAGCTCCTGTGACCTAGATTTTCATCCGAGATGACCCAAGTTCGAACTCATCCGAGCTATCACCTAGACAAGTATCCTGACCAAGTTTGATGATGATTGAGGCAAAAATGTGACCGCTAGAGTGTTAACAAGGTTTTTCTATTTTTAGCTCCTGTGACCTAGATTTTCATCCGAGATGACCCATGTTCATACTTATCCGAGCTATCAACTAGATAAGCATCCTGAAAAAAGTTTAATGATGATTGAGGCAAAAATGTGACCGCTAGAGTGTTAACAAACAAGTGTGGACGGACGACAGACGACGGACATTCAACGATCCTAAAAGCTCACCCTGAGCTAGCTCAGGTGAGCTAATAAAAGTATTTCTACAAAAGCTTACTGCATGTAACAAAAAAAACTTTACAACATGTCTACTACTAAAATGCTAAAAATACAACATTTACAAGAAAAGAATATGCTTATTCAAATGCCATTCAACAGGTAGATAGTTTTGATAATATAGCTTTATCTTAACTTAAGTTGTTATCATACTGAAAAGTGCCGCTACAAATCCAGACAAATTCTGTTTTTTGTTTTGTTTTAAACTTATCCTTGAAGACTTAAACGTTATCATGTTATGTCAGTTCCAGACACAGACAGATCTTGCAAGAGGCATACAATTATAACAGATTTGTACAAAACAAAGGAACGATCTTTACAAACAAACATAAAGTAATACTTTCTCAAAGACTACATAGAACTTTTTTGGACTAAAATAACTCCAGACAGTCTTCATGCAAAATTATCTTTCAGGACTGACAATTTCTATATTAGGCATTACTACTAAAAATATACATAAAGGAAGATATGACAGGCTTCCAAAAGTTAAATTTTATAGTATGTCCAATAATAATTCATGCCTAGATCCAACACACACAAAAGGAACAATACTTTATTAGCCAGAGCTTTAGTAATAACATAATCAGTTTGTCTGCTATACCTACAGTCTGTGACCTTAATCTACTGAGAGTCATCTACTTACTGTGGCTGCCTGTCACATTGCTGAAATGATTTTACACTGACCTTGACCTATATTTACTATGGCCAACTATCACATTTAAAAGTCTAGGTCAAATGATTTAGAAGCTGAAATGATGTCATACTGACCTTGACTTTTTAGTTTACTATGGCCACCCATCACATTTAAAAATCTGGTTCAAATGAAATAGAAACTAAAATGATTTTACACTGACCTTGACCTTTTTGTTAACTATGGCCACCCATAACATTTAAAAATTTTGGTCAAATGACATAGAAGTCATAATGATTTTATACTGACCTTGACCTCTGATGTTCTGACTTAAAGGAAATTCTTCCACTTAACAAAGATGTCTATCCTCTGAGTCAAATGGAGCATAAGGGTGTTCACATATTAGGTCACAGCCATTGACCTTTGACCTACTGCCAATAAAAACTGTCTCCTATTCAATAAGGGCCAATTTTCTATTAAAAATCAAAGGTCAAATTGTATATCAATTATTATCAAGAGGAAATAGTTTCAACATTCTAGGTCAGAGTGACCTTGACCAGTAAAAGAGCAACCTGATCCATTTAATGCCCATTTAACTTTTATAATTCAAAAGACACAATAGAGCCATACAAACTTCTATTCAGTTTCTTCATGCAGGTTGAATGGCTATTAAGGTATGGCACAAAGCGCTACAAGTACGGTATATGCTTTCAACAGTGGTCCGAGTGTAAAAGAAGAGAAAGCTTGGTAAAAATGGTAGCAATGAATTAAGAAAAGTTTATATGCCATAATCCTGTTGTCTGCAATGAATGTAAAGAGATTTCATCCTTAATCAATCAATTATCCCTATCCCTACTGTTTCATGTCTTTCATTATTACGATCAGGTCACACTTTCTTATTTTTTTTTTAAAAGCTGGTTTTTTTGTGAGCAAGTTTTGACTTAAATATTAAGTCCCCTAAGAACCAATTACTCATACATTCTTTGAAGAAGTTTGTTTTCAAGTCTGTGATCAAAAACCAAACCTTTACAGAACTAGGCATGTAATACCTTTCCTTAAATATTTAAAATTTTCTTTTTTCAAATTTTTTTGGAAACAAGTCTGTCATTGAATCTGTATTTTTTCTCTTGACCCTGTGAATATGATTGGTCAATTAGAGCCTGTAGAACATTGAACAGGTGCCACCTTCACCATAGTTACTATGTTTTCAATTAAGCAAGGGATAATTACCATTGTCTACCTAGAATTCTATAAGCGATCAGCACACTACTAAAGTATGTTAGTTTTTCCCTTGTTTTTTTTAAAATTTTATATATTTTTCAAAACTAGAACAAAGCTACTTTACATATTTCACAATACTGCCCTATCACATTTTTGTGTGTGATAACATGTATGTAAGTGTTATATAGTGTTTAAATTCAATTGTTCTTCAGGGAAATAATTTAAAACAATGCCGGGTTAACAAAATGAGGACATTATATAAAATAACATTTAATAAAGGGACTTTGAAACTCAAGCATGTTTACATGGAAAAGGTACTTGTATAGAGCAAGTGACGCATTGAGATAAAAATGCTTGCATGGAAATATATGTAAGGGCTACAAAAAGCATGATTTATATTTTATATTAGAGGAATAATTTTGGGCAACTTTGGTCTGAGAATTATTAGTAGCAACATCATAAAACCATGTCAAACAAAACCAATACTTTGTAATAAATGCTCTATTTTTTTTACCATAATTCATCTACTGAAATCCCAATTTTTAATATTTTAAATGATCAATTTTTCTTATTTTGATATAAAATAAATGTGTTTTTTTCTTAATTTCTTTCCCCTTATCTCATATGTTACAGCGATTATAAATCAGTTTATAATACTGCATGTTTGTAACGTCATTTTTCATTGGATAATCGTGACGTTTATATAGTTTTATATACACGGCTGCTGTCGATTCATGAAGAAATCTTACTTTTTTTCTCTAAAAATGATGCTTGCTGTATTATAAATCTTTATAACTAATAATATAAAGATATCAGTATTTTCATTATAAACATACAGTCAAACCTTTCCTCTTAGACCACTTTGTAATCCAGAATACAACTGTTACCAGCCTTCCTGCATGGCAAATTACAGTGAAATCTTGACATCAATAATGAAGGCATAAGTAAGACCATCTTACTGTGTATACAAAGTGGTCATTAAAGGAAGGTTTAACTGTTTTCATGAAAAAAGAACAAATAGAGCATTTATCACATGCATTTTGAACAAGAGTATGACAGCATATCCATACCAACTTTAATACTACAACTTTTTTTTAAAACAAAAATTTTATATGCCTAAAAATAGGCAATGATTATGACGTGTTGCTAAAAATATATATATTTCAAAATAATAATGCAGGAATGTTCAATATGGATTGGCTATATTAGATATAATCAAACAAAGATTAAAACATTAGATCTAACAGAATAAAAAAAAGCAAAAAGGTGCTGAGATTTCAAATTTGAAGAAATATATATAAGGTAATAATTATGTACAGCTTTATACATAAGAGGATATTGTACGAGTACAGGTTCATTACAGAATTCATTAAACGAGAGGAATTAAATTATTATACGCCAGTCTCTGGCAAGCATAAATGGTTTATTCAAGTGTTCAATAAATTTAGTAATGAACCTACACAAATGCAATACTCCATTAATAGCATACCCAAATTAAGAAACATTTTTTATAGTAAAACATCTTTCTATCATTGATACATTTAAACTGTAATGCTAACATTACATCCCTTTAGTGCAATAACTGGTTAACTCCTATTAAATTTAGAAGGACTAAACCTGTTACTGCACTAAGGCCACGATTAGCAACTTGTATATCAAAAACAATGAAACATTGCAAAGTTTTTACAATAGTGAACTATTATTGTTTATTACACGCCTTTATCATTTGAAATCTCAGCTATTGTTCACTAGTGAACACAAACATGCACGCTTTAACTATCAAAATCTGAAAAGGAACAATCTTAACTTTTTCAATTACTCAAAATTTACATCCTAAAACTTGTTACTCATTTCTGCTAATATGATGTATGTACAGTACTAAACAACGACTTAAACAAGGCTTATGTGCCTTATGGTTCAGAAATGTGGGGTTTTGGTGTTATTTTAAAGGAAATACTTATATCAATATTTGCATATTTCAAATTTCATCTAGCATGCATCTTTAGAAATGATTTAAAGCAAGGAAAGTGAAGGAGAAAAGATTTTTAATTTTCTGAAATGATATATCGTAACATGATTTTTCATGTAAAAAAGAGATAAAAATTTATGAAAATTTAGTGAAAAACTGTAAAGATATTATTCAAAGTATGGAACTTTATCCAGAAGCAGAACAGTTACAAACTATAAGAAATTGAGAAATTTAGAAATTTTATGCAACTAGAGTACTAGGAATATTAGAAGAAAGATGTAATATTGCGCTTGAAACATTTAAATTTTACAGGTAACCCTCTATAAGATAAAACAGTGGCTATGTCTAGATGAAAGTGACTTGGAATATAATAAACAGTAAGTGTGACTTTAAATATTTTTGACGATATCTTACCCTCGTTAGTTCTTCTCTCTGAAGCATGCAATGGAAAATCATGAAAGAAAATATGTGTAAAAAAAACCAAGCACATAAACAATGGCCAAAAGGTCAAACACAAAATTCAATTTTTCCAATCTCACAACTAAAGGTGCATTATACTGGAATCAAACCAAATCAAACATACAAGACACTGCTTTCATAATATACATGTGAATGAATATAAACAAGAGCTCAAAAGGACCCTAGATAGCTCACCTGTGTAAATGGAAAATAAATAAATAAATTCCGTAAGACCAAACAATTTTTTATTCAAAGGCCAAATTTATATATATATATTTTTGTTATGTTTTACATGAAAATACTTTATATCAAAAAATTTTATAGCCCTTATGAAGACCTGATTTAACATGAGGAAATTGCTACAAACTAAATCATCTAAGGTTAAATTTTGTACTTTCTGACAATATTTTATCGATTATTCTAACTTATTAATCTGATTAAAATCATTTAACTCTTTCAGATGAAAATAAAAGTCTCCCCCTTGTGAAGTTTGATCAAAATCTACCATGAACAGATATCAGCTTCCTGTGAAGTTTGATCAAAATCTACCAAAAACAGATATCAGGCTATCACAAAGCTAAGGTGAACTAAAATGCAGGGTTTATTGTTTACAACAATATAAGTGAGTATTTAATATAGTCAAAGAGATGATGAATGAAAAACACAAAGTAAAGCATAGTAAGTGCAAGGAATATGATGACAGTGTAGTAGAACAACAACTATGCTTATGTATACAAACATTCTAATTTTTCAAAACTAAAAAAAATAAATATAGCTCAGGTATTTATTGCTAAAAGAATCATTTATACATATAAATTTAAATATATTATATATAAAATATAATAATATAAATGATAATAAAGAAATTTTATGAAACATTCGCTCTTATATCTTTCCATTTAACACAGCTAATTTCTACAGCCAGTTTTCAGTGTGTTTTGGAGACTCACAGAGGTTACACTGTAACAAGCAAAACAACATAATCTAATGCAAACTTGAGATTTCAAAGGAAAATGAAAGGAACAACAAGAAAAGCTGGAAGTGCACACATTATGTTTGCTGTACTCCATCAAAAACATTCACTACTATTATATACCTGGTATATTTGATTTGGTTTATTTTTCCAGCATCTAGCTAGTGCATGGAAGGCCATTTTACAAAATTGCATAGGCGAGTCCAGAAGGGATTGCCAGGGTGATTTAGTCCAGAACCAGGGAGCCTCGTTCTTGACTTGGCTCAAATATTTCCCCGATTTAGGAACAAACACGTAAGTTTTCTGGGTGCATGGATGTGAAACAACAATCGTTGGAAGAAGCTGCTTTTCTTTCCTCTTCAGCAGCGTAAAAATATATCAAAACATTTACTGCTTGATTCATCGGTACTGTAACAACACTTCTATATTAACTTTAACGAATGACTACTAAAAATCAGGACTTCTACATTACCTAACTAAATTAATCTTATGTCTTCATTACTTTGACAAATGATAACTGCTTTGTAAAAAACAGGACTTCTTCGTTTACTACTGAAAACTTAATGCATAGCTTCCATTACTTTGTTTAAATGTTCCAAATTTCTTTCAATATATGGTAGTTCTAATTTGACCTTTACCACTAGGCTCTTAACTTTGCCAGTTCAAAGCATGTTTTTCTGCAAGTCTCAATAAATTACATTTAATTTTCTTACATAAAAAAAAAGAAGAAAAACCAAAACAATATCTGAGACACACAGATCCCTATCAAAATTTTCATATGTCAAGAAATAGAATTTTAGCACTAAAAAATACCTCTGAATTTACTAAGTCCCTGTTACATGTATTTTGCCTTGGAAACTTTAAGATACCTTTTCTGGTATCAACATGTCTTGGAAACTTTGATATGATAACTTTTTTGGTATCAAACTGTCTTGGGAACATTTGAATGTTACATTTTTTGGTATTTGGATCTTTTTTTCTTTCCTTAAAAAGTAAATATAAAACAAGAGGGCCATGATGGCCCTGAGGTCGCTCACCTGTATATAGGTCCCCAGAGCTGGGCCAGTTTAAACCCCAGGGCTTTTATTTGAACAGACTCGGAAGAGTCACCCATTAGAAGATGTTTCACAATGTTAAGTTTTTACTACACACATATAATGAAAAACAACGATCTCCCCCCCCCCCATCGGCAGGGCCAATTTTAACCCAAGGGCTTTTATTTGAACAAACTTGGTAGACACCCATAAGAAGATGTTTCATGCTAAACATCTTAGCTCTAACTCATTGGGTTTTTTAAAAGAAGATTTTTAAGTTTTTACTATACACATATAGTTAAAAACAATGACACCCCTGGGGCGGGGCCAGTTTTGACCCCAGGGCTTTTATCTGAACAAAATTTGTAGACACTTACTAGAAGATGTTTCATGCTTAATATCTAAACTCTACCTATTTGGGTTTTTTTCAAAGAAGATTTTTAAGTTTTTGCTATACACATATAAGGAAAATCAATGACCCCCGGGGCGGGGCCAATTATGACCCCAGGGCTTTTATTTGAACAAACTTTGTAGACACTCACTAGAAGATGTTTCATGCTTAATATCTAAACTCTAGCTATTTGGGTTTTTTCAAAGAAGATTTTTTAAGTTTTTGCTATACACATATAAGGAAAATCAATGACCCCTGGGGCGGGGCCAATTTTGACCCAAGGGCTTTTATTTAAACAAACTTGGTAGACACCCATTAGAACATGTTTCATACTAAATATCTTAGCTCTAGCTCTTTGAGTTCTTTAAAAGAAGATTTTTTAAGTTTTTACTATATGCATATAGGGAAAATCAATGACCCCCTGGGGCGGGGTCAATTTTGACCCCAGGGCTTTTATTTGAACAAACTTGGTAGACACCCATTAGAACATGTTTCATGCTTAACATCTTAGCTCTAGCTCTTTGAGTTCTTTAAAAGAAGATTTTTTAAGTTTTTACTATATGCATATAGGGAAAATCAATGACCCCCTGGGGCAGGGCCAATTTTGACCCCAGGGCTTTTATTTGAACAAACTTGGTACACTCACTAGAAGATGTTTCATGTCAAATATCTAAGCTCTAGCTCTTAGGGTTTTTTAAAAGAAGATATTTAAAGTGTTTTTTTTCGGTTGCCATGGCAACCAGAGTTCTGCATGGGATTAAATTCTTTGAACAACTTTGTTAAGGCTTCACACAAGGAATATCCCTGTGAAGTTTCATTATGATCTGCCTTATGGTTTCAGAGGAGATGTCGTTTTAAAAGTGTGAACGGACAACGGACGACGTAAGACGGACGACGAAGAGTGATCCTAATATGCTCAGGTGAGCTAAAAATTTGAACAAAAAAGGAAGTTTTACAGTCCGATGAGATCAAACAGTAAAGTTATAGTCCTCTAACTTAGCCAAATTTCTATGCAACTCTAAGAGGGTATAAAGCTTCAACTGGGAAAAATATGTCACAAACATTTCTGAAACAGTACAATCGCATTGTTTGCATATTGTAATGGCCATATCTAGGGAAAGCTATAACAAAATTGCGTTACGTAACATACAAATATTATAATATGAAAATTGAATAAAGATTCCCTTATGAAATATTCATCTGCTATTTTTAGTTGTTTAAGTGATAATTTCACGCATGCATCACCAGTTTTATTGGAAATTTATAAACATTATTCATTAAATTTATGTACTTCAGTATGTTTTTTTTTAACAAGATATAAACATTCTGTTGATCAGAGGAAACACAATACAGCTTTAAACCCTTTCAGAGTTACAGTGTTAAATTAACATTTAACAAATATGTATAAAACTTCATCAGTATGATGCTACAAAATTCACCATAAATGACATCCCTTCTGTATCTTTAATTCTTATTCAATATACTTATATCATATGCTTCACTTTGCTACCTTAATATATAAAAATATTGAACAAGAGCTCTTGGCAGAACAGCGTGCTCGACTATTCTCAATGCTTGATAGTAAAACAAGTGCCTGGATAATTAAAAACTTTCCGGTCCAAAAAACGCCATAATTTTGTCAAAATTCATGTCAGAGTTATGGATCTTAATAGCAAACTTCTATTTTGCTCTCAAATAAGTGTGAGAAGTTTCAACCCACTTCCTTCTGTAGGTTTTGAGATACAAAACTGCACACAAAATCTTAACAGAAGTGTGACGATAATGCAGACGCCTGCTTGAGTACAAAAGCTCTCTCTCTTATTCAAACAGTCAAGCTTAAAATTACTTTACACCCTTACCATGCTAAATATCATAAATGGACTTATCCATCCTTCAATCTGGACTAAATCATTCATCATTTCTAGGTCAAATTTCAAAATATATGCTTACTGAAAAGTAACCAGTGCAGACTATAAGAATTTTACACCGGCTGCCGGTACAGACCGGAATATCTAGCACGAGGCGAGGGTAACTGTTTATGGCGGAAACAAGACTCTGCCGAGTTTCCACTAAACAGTTACCCAGAGAGCTAGATATTCCTGTCTTCAGTGGCCACCAGCAATCTAAGCTCAGTTTAACTTCAATGAAAATATTCCCAAATAATTTTTTTGGGGGAAAAAATATTAAAATTTTATTTCTACTTTGTAGTCAAAATTCCTGCAAAGGACACTAATTGTTGCTTCTGAACACTATCAATAAATGCCAAATGCTTAATTCGATACTCTGAAATATCATACAATTAGAATCTGTAAAATAAAATTCACACAACATGCTGAATAAGTACCATTCTCATCAAAAATTGTCTCCTAGAAAAAAATAATTGTTAAATGTTTTTCATATTTTATAAATTATGCCAACCTATAACCAACTGAAAATTTTTCAAACAAGGAAGCAGCTGTTGGTGTTAGTTTAACATTTATTTCACAATCATAACTGTAAAAGAAAATATAGATATATAAAACACGCACAACTAGGATTCATTTTCGTGGTCTAACAGCTTACCAAAGTTGGGTCTAAAGTTGGCTGAACCAGGTCCATGAAAATGTTCCACCAGACTTGAAGGAATTCTTGACTGTGGCCAGTACCTGGTAGTGGTGTAACTGTCCTTGTGTTTGTGTCAAATGTGTGATGCCATGGTTTAACAGCACCAATAAAGTGAACAATCTTTACTCTCTCTTTGAACCTGATAGCATATAAATTTACTATAATTAAAATCAGCATTTTTTTTCATTCTTCTTTTTATAAATCTGGTTTCTAAAGAAAGAACAATTCATTGGTTTTTGAGGCCTTTAAAATGTAGTAATTCTTATACTTCAATCAATTTTTCGAAGCCAAAACAATTTCTGATTGATATCATTTTTGTTTAATGCTATTAATATCATCTGTAAGTTTAAACAAGAGAGCCAAGATGGCCCTAGATCGCTCACCTGACCCATCAAACTCATCCGAGCAATGACTTAGACAAGCACCCTGTCAAAGTTTGATGACAATTGATTCAAAAATGTGACTACTAGAGCGTTAACAAAGTTTTAAAAAAAACGTTCATAATTTCCTGATATTTTTGGTTTCAAAATTTTCAATTTCTTATGATTTTCCCTCAATAACTGTTACTCTCATCTTAAATTCCCTCTCCTTCCATGTCTGTGTCCTCCCCAAACTAAATGTTGCCTTGAACTTCACAAGCTTGAATATCAAACTTTAACATTATAAAATGTCATGATAAAATTGGTCTTATTTATATATTTTTCTACCTATCCTACAATTTTCCCCAATTTGGCGCTTTATACATTGAACAATACTCTACTTATATAATCTACTTACTGTGTGAAAGCTGGAAGATAACTGTAGAAAGCCTGTGATACGACATTATATATAAAAGGCAGGTGTTTTGATATGTCCTCTGTCGACCACTTGTTAAAGTACATATTAAGTAGACCCTGATCACCTCCTGAAGAACATGTTCAAAAAGAAAATTAATCAGTTCCACTTCAAAGTTTATGCAGCACCATTTGACAACTTCGCTGCTTTATTGTCAGCAAAAGAAAAGTTATATTGTCAATGTGATTAAAAAACATACATTTAAAAGCTTTGTAGTTTTCCAACCAATGTTTTGCCAGAACAAGTTAAGTTGAGAAAGCACAACCTAAAATCTATACCTTGACACTAATTTTAATGCAATACATGTATGTATTATGCATATCAAGATTTACAAAGATGAAATTCAAAAAGATTTAACTATAGTAAAATTGTTCATAGACAAACTCAGAACACCTTTTTTATCAATTCTACTTGTGCTTATGTCATACCTAAAATCATGATTAAAAAAAAAAATCCTCTATTATACAGAGGCTGCAATTTTAAGGCAATTGATTCTACTCCTGCAGCAAATCCATACACAAAATCAGCCAGCATAACACATCTGTGCCCCTGGTCCATCGTCTGCACTGTTTGCTTTTCAGTCAGCCCAATTTTTGAAATTTTCCTTAAAAGTAATAATGGATTTTTTTTAGATATTTAGGATGGATAAAACATGAACTCACCATCAAAGCTGCCTTGTGACGTTGCAAATTGTAGCAGGGATTCGTATGTTTCTAACGATGGTTTGAATACAAACACTCCAGAGTTGAAGCAATCTGGCCAACCAGCATCTGGTGCTGCCGAAAGTTCTTCTCGGTCAAATAATTCATCTACATTCTGTAATACCTGAAGAAGAAATAATCAATCTTCTGCTATAATGACGGCTATAACTTTTGCCAATATCTATGTTTAGTTTATGGGCCTTGGAAAAAAGACGCTCCTTTATAATGCTCGCAAATAAATGTGTGAAGTTTAAACCCACTTCTTTCATTGAGTTTTGGGATACTGACCTGCATGCAAAATCTTAACTAAAGTGTTACAGCGACATTGACACCAGGGTCAGTTACATAGCTATTTCTTTTCTTTGAAAAGTCCAGCTTACAATATGTGAAACAGTACGTAATTATGACAGACTGATGGAAGGACAATCGGACATCTTTTTATGAAGTACAGTCGAGACTGTCATATGCGACTTTCCAAGGGATCTTCAGAAAAAGGTCACATATGACAGGGAGTCTCTAAATACAGTCTCAAAGAAAATTAAATTTAAATACCATCTATCTGTCTATATGTCATTGTGACTGAACATACATAACTGTGTGAAGGAATAATATCTAACCAATTGCAAATAAACATAGGTAATCGTAAATTTTTTTATGTAAATAAAATAAGAATCCATGTAAAACAACTATATATTAGCATGTATATCACATAAAATTTAATTTAATTTTTTGTATTAAGATTTAAATTGAATCTTTTTTGTATAAATTAACTGGAATTTGATGCATCCATGTACTTGTAAAAGTTTAACATATCCATATCCAAATTTTCTGGTTTGGTATCCATATTTTTTCCGTATTAATTATGCAGCCATAGAAAGGTAAATTAAAAAAATGCTGCCTAAAATATCTTTCGTTGGCACTCTATAATTAAAAAAAAAATCTGACACAAGCTTAATCCAGTTTACTCAGGTCATTATATGTACATTACACACCATGCTTCCCATTAAAAGACGCTTAGTGACGTCACTCGATACCTGTATACATGTTAACTGTGTAATTGAGACAGAGATGTGTAGACTTTGTTTGCTACTGGATTATAATTGGACTTAATTATTTTGGCCCTCTGGGTGTTAAAATAGGTATTATTTATCTGATTAACGGACAATTAAAAGGTGTGAAAGTCGTTTAAATCAGACAAAACATTGCATTGGGACCAGACAATTAGGGTCGCTTGTCACATATGACAGGGAGTCGTTTAATTCAGACCATTTTTATAGGAAAATAAGTTGGGAGTACTGAAACAAGGTCGGATAAGACAGGGAGTCGTTTAAATCAGGGGGTCGCTAAGGCAGTCTCGACTGTACCTATTTTGTTCCATGTAAATTAGTTAAAAGCAACAATTATTCAATCATCTTTTGCAGCATTATACAATAAAACAAAATTAATTAGCTTAAGGGTTAAGAATGGCATAATGTATGTATTCGTTTAAGACAAATTAATAGAATATTTTCTCCTTTATCTGCTTTATCAGCATCCAACTTTTACATGACCTGATTTATCATGGAATCTTGTAATCAAATATATAGACAGAAAAGGGAATGTCACTGGCAAATCACCAATTACTTTGTTTTTACCATGTATAATGCTGCATGAATAACATGGCAATTTGATATTTGATATTTTACAAACTGAGATTTTTTTTCCTTATTTATGTACAGTAAGCACTGTCAACATTTTTGGAAGTGGATACAATATACAAGTAGTCTGTACACAATGGTTTATGAATTACATATGCACCAGTCAACTGTAACCCTTGCCCCACTGGGGGCACCATTACCCTAGGGTATTTGTGAGGCAAAAGCAGGGTAAATAAGACAAAATTTTGCCTTTTATCGGTTCACTTCTTAGTTGACCCACATGGTCAACGTTGCTATTTTATTTTTAGGAATAAAATGGTAAATGGTATGTCAAACTTGCAGTACAACAGCATTCACCAGTGATTATAAAAATGTTATAACACATGTTTGATACATCTAAAGCACAAATTCAGATTTCACACATAAAAGTTGGGTGTAGACTCAGGTTGGTGTTATTAACCTATCACATGTATGTTTACTCTACTTTATTCAATATAAAGTGCTGTCAAAGTAATGATAAAAATTCCTATCCTAAAACAGACTAAAACATTTTGTCTATAGATTCTCTAATATATCAATGAGACTGAATTACAATGCAATTGGTAGACAGATGTTTTTGCAATAAATACCTGTTGACATTTTCCCAGCCTCTTATATCAATCAAATAATACTTTCCCCAGTATAAAAAATATACATTCTAAGCCTCTTATCATGAAGAAATATACATTTATACAATACTGCATTTCTACGCTAGACCTATAGTTTTATAGTTTTCTACTGCATAGGCAACATCAATGGCAGCATGACTGTAACAAAAGCTCCTTTAGTCAAGATAAAATGAAATAAATATATGACCACTGAAATATAAAGGTTATTCTTTCACTTGACCTTCTGACCTTTGCTTCTTTTTTTTTTTTACAATTTTTTACTTAAAGGTCAAATAATATAAGTAACCTCCAGAATAAAATAGCTTTCTTAATATTAACCTAGTGACCTACTTTTTGACATTAAATGACCTGATATCATTTGACCTTAACTTTATAAAGGTCAATATGCTAATTACTCAGACACAACTACTGAACTATACTATTTAATGACTGGTTTCTGTTCCTCTTGTCATGTCACATATCATATTCCATATAAACCTTGGTCATCACATCATACTTACTAGGGTATCAGCATCTAAGAAAACAGCTTTATCAAATTGTGTAAGTCTCCAACAGTGAAGTTTTGTGAAGGTCACATTGAGGTCAGGTCTCCCTAGCAACGAGAGGTTAATTGGATCATTGCTGTCTAACACGTTCACTTCTTGTATAACATCAAACACTTGTGCTAGTTGTGATCTGAAAAATAGAATTGTCATGTCAGAATGACTAACTTATACAAGTAATCAATTCTTCATTTCATCTTGCATACACACTTCTGGTAAGGCCTGTACCACATCAGCCCGATGGGAGCGGTACAAACGATTTAAAAAAAAAATCGCTGTGTTTCGTGCAGGCGCTGCAAGATATTCGTACAAATTCTTTAGGGTTCCATGGTTACAAATCTGTCTAGATAGACTGCCAAATTGCCTGCAAAATTTCTACCGCACAGAATTCTATACTAATCATAAAATCCAAATTTTGTGCGGCTGATGTGATAAAGGCTTAAGGACGTTTTTGGGCGTTTTCATATAGACATATAGGCAAAATAAAAACTGTTCAATAGAATTTCTTAAAATGAGAACTGTGTACCCAAATTGATTTGGCTTAAAATGTTTCTATTATCATATTCTAAAAACATGCCAAGTTTTAAGAAATACTATTGAACAGTTTTAATTTTGCCTACATGTCCATATGAAATTTCCCGAAAACGTCCTAAACTTATCAGGCAAAAAGTTAAGTCATTATAATAACAGTAAATGGACAATTCTTTATATTTAGAAAATCCTGGTTATTAATTTGAGATACAGTTAACCTACCAAAATACCAAACCAAAATAAAATATCAGAAATAGTATGATTTTAGATAAATTAATTCATTTGTATTTAGAACTTTTTTTATACAAAAAAAGAAACCTTTCCTTTTCAAAATAGCAAGGACATTGGATTTGACAGGACTGACAGGAGAAAACAAGATTGCATTGAGAAAAATGCTATGCCACCGCATTAATACAACACTAAATAGTAGTGTAGAAACAGATTTTTTTTGTTTCTTTACAATTTTGAAGATTGTCATAAAGCATAGATCCCTGACCTATATTATTCTTATTATCAGATAAATGGTTAAATCTAATGTTAACTCAATAAAAGATCAGAGTAGGAATATATCAATGCACTCGAGTCTAGTGAATTTGGTGGTGAAAGTCATATTTCACACAGCCTAAATTTCATGACTACATCAAAAGGACAACACAGTAAGACTGTGTGACTTTGTCAAAATCTAGGTCAGCTGAAATCAAAGTTCAATTTTACAACTAAAACTGTGCACATGGTCAAAATTTCATTGCTGTACATCAAAGGACAAGAAAGTAGGTCACTGTCCCCTTGGGCAAGGCAAAATTTTGGACCCAAGGGTTTAATTCAAAACAATCTTGATACAGGTCCACCAAACAACATTTCAAGTCAAATATCTAAGCTGTAGCTTTCTCCCATTCAGAAAACATTTGTTTTATTTTCTGTTTTTACTATGTGTACATAATGAGAATCACTGCCCCCGGGCAGGACCAATTTTGACACCAGGGGAAAAATTTGAAGAACTTTAGTAGAGGACCTATAGATGATATTATATAGCAAACATCAAAGCTCTATCCCTTGTTCCTTCAGACAAAAATATTTTTTATTTTTTTTACGATGTGTACATAGTGAAAATCAATGACCCCTGGGGGTGGGGCCAATTTTGACCCCAGGGCTATAATTTGTACAATCTTGCTAGAGGTTCACTACATAATGTTTCATGCAAAATATCTTAACTATAGTCTTTGTAAATTTAAACAAGATGATTTTTTAAGTTTTTACTTTATACATATAAGGAAAACCTATGGCCCCCGGGGCGGGGCTAATTTTGACACTAGAGGCAAAATTTGAACAACTTTGGTAGAGTTCCTATAGATGATATCATTTAACAAATATTAAAGCTCTAAGCCTTGTACCTTCAGACAATAAGATTTTTTACTATATATATATTTAAAATCAATGACCCCTGGGGCGGGGGAAATTTTGACAACAGGGCTATAATTCAACAACAATCTTGCTAGAAGTTCACTTCACAATGTTTCATGCAAAATATCTAACCTCTAGCATTTGTCAATTGCTAGAAGAAATTTTTTTAAAGTTTTTACTATAAGTTTTTACTATATACATATAAGGAAAACCAATAACCCCCCGGGCGGGGCCAATTTTGACCCCAGGGCTATAATTTGAACAATCTTGGTAAGGGTCTACCAGACAATGCCTTATGCAAAATATCTAACCTCTAGGCCTTTTGGGTCTTTACAAGAAGGTATTTTAAGTTTTTACTATATGCACATATAGTGAAAATCAATGACACTCGGGGCGGGCCGATTTTGACCCCAGGGCTATAATTTGAACAATCTTGGTAAGGGTCTACCAGACAATGCCTTATGCAAAATATCTAAGCTCTAGGCCTTTTGGGTCTTTACAAGAAAGTATTTTAAGTTTTTACTATATGTACATATAGTGAAAATCAATGACCCCCGGGCAGGGGCAATTTGACCCTAGGGCTATAATTGGAACAATCTTGGTAGAGGTCTACCAGACAATGCCTTATGCAAAATATCTAAGCTCTAGGCCTTTTGGGTCTTTTACAAGAAGGTATTTTAAGATTTTACTATATGTACATATAGTGAAAATCAATGACCCCCGGGGCCGGGCCAATTTTGACCCCAGGGCTATAATTTGAACAATCTTGGTAGAGGTCTACCAGGCAATGCCTTATGCAAAATATCTAAGCTCTAGACCTTTTCAGTCTTTACAAGAAGGTATTTTAAGTTTTTACTATATGTACATATAGTGAAAATCAATGACCCCCGGGGCGGGGCCAATTTTGACCCCAGGGCTATAATTTGAACAATCTTGGTAGAGGTCTACCAGGCAATGCCTTATGCAAAATATCTAAGCTCTAGACCTTTTCAGTCTTTACAAGAAGGTATTTTAAGTTTTTACTATATGTACATATAGTGAAAATCAATGACCCCCGGGGCGGGGCCAATTTTGACCCCAGGGCTATAATTTGAATAATCTTGGTAGAGGTCTACCAGACAATGCCTTATGCAAAATATCTAAGCTCTAGGCCTTTTGGGTCTTTACAAGAAGATTTTTTAAATTTATTCTTTTAATTCCTTTTGGTTGCCATGGCAACCAGATTTCTGCATGGAATGAAATTCTTTGAACAACTTTGGAACCCCTTCACCCAAGGATCAATCCTGCCAAGTTTGGTTGAAATTGGACTAGTGGTTTTTCACAAGAAGATTTTTTAAGTTTACTATAATTATAATCTATATAACACACACACAAACAAACAAACAAACAAACAAACACACACACACACATACACACAGGTGAATCGCTATATGCCACCGCATCGCAGATGCTGCGGTGGCATAAAAATCTGACTAGGAGGTTAAATTACCACAAAGTTCACTTAACCTTGACCTTGGGCATTGTTCATCAAATTCACTAGTAGGCTACATTCCCATAGCTTCTTACAACAATTACAATGTCAGATAAAAAACACTATTTATTTCATCAATGTTATCATTTAACAGTAGCTGTATGTTTTACTTGACATGACATGGAGATTTTAAAGTACTTTCATATAAACTGCACACAAACCTGAATGGCAAACAAAATGTTACAGACAGACACTTCTAATTATGGTGAGGTATTGCTGCTAGGCTAGATGCAAAATCACATATTGATTTCAGTATATATAAATACTACACTATATCCCAGACAATTAAATTCTGTGCAACAATGACATAAAATTTGCAGAGTCCAATTTAATCTATTGAAAACAACTCCTTCAAGGTTGTTGGCTTCGAACACCTCTTGTTGCTGCGGGGCTCAAATCTCTGCAATGACTTTGGAATCTTTAATGTGAGGAAGCTACCCATGCAGCAAGCTTACAGAACATCAGATTCTACTCAGGTGCCTGCTTGTACCTGACATATTGCACAGAGGGACAATCAAGGTCTCTTACCACAAATTAAGCTAGAATGATGCCAGTGTTGATGTAACTTAAAACTCAACAAAACAAACAATTCATTTCCAGTTTAATGCTTCCTAGATACCAATATTATATAGGGAAACAATTACTCTTTTCAATCTGTTATTTCTATCAACTTATGAAATCTTATATTGAGAATATAATTATGTGCATATTTGCTTAATTTTAGCAGTAAGTCAATGTGCATGTCTTAATATTTGAGATGACCTTCTAGCAGTAAGTCAATGTGCATGTCTTAATATTTGAGATGACCTTCTAGCAGTAAGTCAATGTGCATGTCTTAATATTTGAGATGACCTTCTAGCAGTAAGTCAATGTGCATGTCTTAATATTTGAGATGACCTTCTAGCAGTAAGTCAATGTGCATGTCTTAATATTTGAGATGACCTTCTAGCAGTAAGTCAATGTGCATGTCTTAATATTTGAGATGACCTTCTAGCAGTAAGTCAATGTGCATGTCTTAATATTTGAGATGACCTTCTAGCAGTAAGTCAATGTGCATGTCTTAATATTTGAGATGACCTTCTAGCAGTAAGTCAATGTGCATGTCTTAATATTTGAGATGACCTTGGTGGTAGTAGCTGATACCTGGATGTGTTCTCCTCTGCATATCATGTCAAAATGGTGATTACAAAATGCCAAGTTATCTTTCAATTTAGCAGACACCAAAATGCAATTGACAGACAGACGGATTTCCTAAGAAGACGATGGTAACTTCAGTGTTCTCACTATTGTTCTTTTTAGCCACAAAAAGGGAAAGATTTAGCCACATAAAAGCTTTCAGAATGAATGACATCAAAGAAAAAATACAGTTCCCATAATTGTTCTTAAAGCCACATAAGTATCCAAATGTTACAGCAGCTGTTTTAAGGAGTATCACATCAATTTAATAGTAAGAGAACACTTTATTTTGAAGGTGACATTGCTTTGTTAAGTCTGGTTGCAAAATTAATGCATCAAAAAAATTGCATCACACAAATTTCACTGGCTTCAAAGATAACCCTTTTTTGTGGCTTTTGTGTTTTAGCTTCCTGGAATATGTTTTTTTTTCTCTGATAAAACTTCAAATGTTTAAACATCAGTATGAGACTGCTATAAACATTCACAGAACATTCATATTCTTATCTAATTAACACATATCACCTTTAAAATATCTCTAACATATCTTTTGCATGATTACGCTGATACATTTAACTTTACAGTGATAGCAAAATATCTTGAAATCCCTCAACAGGCAAAGTTCCAACAGACAGCACTGCATTATTTTTTGTACTTTATTTTCATGATCATTTATCAAGTTGTGTTTATTAAAATATGAAATGGGGTAAAGGGATATTTCTTTACTGGAGATAATTAACACACATTATTTTTCAATTATGTAATTAATCAAACAATACAATGTCATGTATTATATTTACCTTAACTATCTTAACTATACTTAAATTGTCAATGTCATTTTATCTGAATGATCAATTATATTCAACTTAAATAGGGGGGGGGGGGGGTAGCAGGTATGGGGGTGGAAGTAAAAAAGAAATTTGGCTATATAATAGTTATATAATAAACAGTCTTGGCAAAATTTTCCAGGAATGTATACTTATGTACTGTTACATCAGGCAAGCTTTGTAATTTTCTACCTGGTATGAAAAATAACTACCGTCTTCATACTGTGACCTAGATTTATTCATTTTCCAAAAATCATGTGACAGCATTTTGTTTATCTGTGAACTAGAAATAGGTCACTCATTCATAAGCTTAAAATAAACGCACTAATACAATAATGCTGACCTTGAAAAGCAGTCACAAGTACTCCTGTAAAAAAGTAGAGAAAAACGAAACAGAAAACGACCTTGACCAGACCTAAATAATAGCAAGTGAGAAAATACAGAATTGACTGAAAAATCAGCCCCAGCATGATATCAAGGATTTGTCAAGGCAAATAGGACCTATTTATCAATATGACATTTTTTGCCAATGTTTTTAAATGTTATTAGATTTACTACTGACAGTATAAGTGCATATTTCCTGTATAATTTGTACTTCAGCTGATTTTTTTTTTGTTTTGGCCAAATAATAAATTGTTGTCTGCATCTCCCTGTCTGTCATTTGAAGTAATTTATATACACAAATCATGCATAAAATGAATTATTCTATTCCACACTGCAAAAAGTAGTCCTACAGAAAATTTTGTAGTATTGCATGTTTCGTTGAATCTCATGGATTGAAAGGAAGCTTTAGGACAACTAGAATTACAACTAAATGAAGTAGAATACTTGGATAAAGAAAGAGTTCAAAATCAAAAGGTCTTAATATATGTTTAATTTAATACTGTTTCCCATGAACTTATATTACATGTATAATGCTCAATAATTGGTTTATCAACTTCCTAATATCAATAGGGCATAAAATGACTTTCTCTTTGAAGATCTTTCTATGAAAAATATCAAAAAAAAGTTTTATTACAACTTGCTGTAATCTATCTATTGCAAATTAATCTACATTGCAATCTATTGCAAAATAAACAGCTGAAGAGAACACAATATACTCAAGGTGAAAGTCTAAAATATATCTATTAAAAACCACTATCTTTCAATTACGGTCACTCTGACATTGAGGGGCAAACAGCAACTTTTCAGATTTTACTGGTTGAGGATCACTGCAGGTACCCCCAGCCCCCCTCAATGAACCATTATAAGGATACTGCTGGCACATAAGTATAGAACCATCAACTAAAGTTAAGGTTGCTGATTGAAAGATTTACAAGTCCAGTTACAGTCACATTCACTGTAAAGGGCAAATGATTCAACATCAGTCACCATATTTAATTATTTAGTCATGTTGACATGAACTTAGTAAAGCTAAACATGTAACTTGCAACTCATTCAATACTGCAACAATTATTGATTTAGCAAAATCAAAGACAGAAATAAGCAATTGAACATCACAGCATATGTTGTGCATGTCTGTAAGCTATCAAAATAATTCTTTGACTTTTCTCTATTTGGAGGGAGCCTGTGCTTATGATGTAATATATTTCTTGAAACAATTTCTCAGGTAAACAACAGTTTGCTGTTCAGTTTGCTGCTGACATATATATTATATAATTATGCAATAATTATTTTGCACTTAAGAAACAGTTTCATGTCCATCGATCAGAAACAAAGATAAGACAACTCTGAGCATAATTAGGGCATCAGAGCACGTGGTATATTAGCAAATGAACATGTGATATGTGATTTAACATCATAATTTATCAGCAAAATATCATTGTATTAGTGAATGTTATCTTCTTTTATATACCTTACTGTTCTAACAGCCAACTATTAATAAAGTATGCCAGACTTGCTGATACTATGCCAATGTTGGGGGGAATTTCTCTCTATTTCAACATACAATACAGCATACAAATATCTAAATGGCAAATAATTATAAATACTGCCTTCCTACACATTGTCATTATGAAATACAACAACAACACCATGTGACACTTATCAAACTAAATCCCCCAAAACAGAACAATTAGATACTTCTTCATTAGATATTGCAGAGAAATCTGCCAGGGACAAATGGTATAATTTATTCCACGCATTTCTGAAGGTCGTAAATGTGGTTTTTGGATGTACTTATTTTATTTACGGCTTAGTTAGCCATATATCTTCTTTCTCAGATAATACTAAGCCATCAGTGGTGAAACCTTAAAATGATTTTGTTTTTTATTGCAAGTTGTACATGAAAGGAGAAATTGAGAAACAAGTAAAATTTATACTACATACGTTATTATTATGCCAGCAGTCATCTTGTAATTCAATCATAGTCAACTGAATTTTTAGTATTCTTTTTTTGAAACTCTGCAGATCCTTGCCAGTATTGTGTCCAAATATCGTAAAGCAAAATTACATTTTTGTATCAACTCGGATAAATGCACTGTACAATTAATCTGTAGTTTTGGGTATGTTTTACCAAAACAAGACTGCATTTGTGAAATGCAATGCCACTGCATTGTATACAGTATCAAAAGCAGTTACCCTTGTATATCTCAACAAATAATGATCAATTTCAAATAGAACTTGAGTTTAATATTTGAGCAATTTAGCAAAACTATAATCATTATGTACATTAATATTAAGATATGTATAGGTCACTTATAAACAAAATTAACTAGAAGAGGTTTTGTCACAAAAACATACGTCTCCCATAACTTAATATGGTATTGATTAGTGATGTTCCGATTGTCGCAAGTCGCCGATGATCAGTTAATGTTATGTAAAACGACAATAATCAATTCACAAAAATTTGTTCCGCGACGTCGTCGAAAATGTTTAAAGTATCAAAGGGAATTAATTCTGACGGTAATTTTCTTTTAGGAACACCTCGCTGATCGCAAAAAAATCACTCTGAGACAATTTGGAGTTGAACAGGATCAATAAGTGATGTAAACAATAGTAATAAAATGTGATGTGAATATTCTTATTCGACATCCATTGAAAAATAAAATCTATTTCGTAAAATTATGACTATATTAGGTTAAAACTGTGTTGAAAAGTGTTAAATGAAGTTCAATGTTGTTAGTCCCTTGGTAAGAAATGTTAATTCCCTATTTCTTTTTAACGCGACTTTATTCGAAAGTTATCGATTATGTCCCATCCGACTGAACCGATGATCGATTGGGACAAATTTCATCCGATTTCCATCACTAGTATTGATCACTCCTGTGAAGTTTGGTCAACATCCTGCCAGCAGTTTGACCTGAGAAAGCCGGACAAGCTCAATGCAGACATACAGATAGATAGACAGACAGTGAAGGCAAAAACAAGATGTCTCCAAATATTTTAGGGAGTCATAATGATAAAATTAACAGGAAAACCTTAATGTTAGATCACTATAAAATATAGGTCTGCCAGGGTCATATAATATTTTGACAGGCACTAGTGACCAAGTCGCTCACCATATTAGCAAAGGTAACATCAAAATATTATTCTGAGGTGGTTTATATGAGTTTATCACTATCATAATCAGTTTAGTAACAGTGTAAAATAGCCTTTTATAGAAATCCTTGTGCAACTTACCTCATAGAATTTGAAACACCCTCTGTAATCATAACAACTAGTTGCCGGGTTGTTCTGACCCTTTTTAATGAATTTCCTAGCACTAGACATCCTAGTGAGTATGTGTCGTTTGTTGCTAAGGTAACAAAAGCTTCTCTTCTGTCTGAAAATAGAAATACAATTAAGTTAATTAAAATTTTTACATATAGTCATCAGGATCTAACATGAATAGGCTGAATTATGTATATTCAATGATATATTTACGCACTACATTTATCAGTTATTTGTAAATATGACGCCCACCCCATCCCCCAACTCGTGCTGGGAATAACAGGTTCCAAATGTTCCAACCATGCTGGGTTAGTACATTTATTATATTTTTGTACCAAAAGTAGCCAGTGCTGTCTGTTGATTTGGTGGCAATTTTACAACCTAACTGTCCTCCAAAGAACAGATTTAATCATTACATTTACAACCTGTCTTCCAAAGAACAGATTTAATCAGAGTGCTTTGCTGGTCCCTAAGTCAAAGTCCTTGCTATTTTCCTGGGAGGAGAGTGGCATATAGGTGTTTGGTGCATAAATGAGTATATGACACTGTTTCATTTTTTCTTATCTACACCAGGTTAAATCACAGAAACAATATGATCTATATCACATTGACGAGCTTAAACAATTATGATTGAATCATAAATTGCACTTCACTATACTTCCATATGCCGGTAATACAAATTTAGTCATTATAAAAAGACTTAAACATTACCTTGAATACTTGCTGATCATCGAAGAAATCAATGAAACCTAACAAGATACTATGATAGAAGACAATCCCTACTTAGACCAAATTAAACTGCAATCAAATCATACAAAGTGGTTCATTCCTATGATAACAGCAGCCCTGCATACTTTGCTATCATGTAGCTAAGTTAATGTAGATAATGACCATGATTATATGGATAAAGTAAATTGGTGAAATTTTCTGTATCTGACACATTAAAAAGTGATCAAAACTTCTCTCACTGCATTTACAAAATCACTTATTTCTTAAAAGCAAGGATTATGGCTCTAAACACAAGCAGGCCAAAATGGCACACTAATAATGAGGGTGTGAAGGGGGTTGGAGGGAAATAATATGATGTGAATGAGAGGGTAAAATCAGAAAAGGGTGGGTGGAGCACAATTTGAAAAGAGAATGTGAGTCACACTTTGAACAGGGTATGAGAGGCATAATTTAAAGAGAGTGGGAGAGTCACAATTTGAACAGGGTATGAGGGGCATAATTTAAACAGGGTATGAGGGGCATAATTTAAACAGGGTATGAGGGGCATAATTTAAACAGGGTATGAGGGGCATAATTTGAGTGTTTTATAAAAATAATTTAACTCATGCTAATAAAATATGCAATGGCAACATCTGAACAACACTGTTACTCAGTCTGGTAGAAACATACAAAGTAAATTCTTTTAAATTTTATAGATGGTGCTTGGATGCTAGGTTTGCAGATCAGGAAGCTCACTCAAACACTTTATGTTACTCAGCTCTCAACAAGCATTGTTGCCTACATTTGTTTATTCTACGATATTTTTGTGTCAAGTTTGAACCTGTATAATTAACAATCCTTTTGTCTTATATCTACAATACAGTACATCTAGTCTATGTAATGTTTATGGAAACTGCATAATGGCACCAAATAACCGATAATATGATAACAATACAATAATCATCAGCTTTAAGATTCATCTTTATAATAAAGCATACAAAATATGAAAACAGAGTGTATAAATAATTGGCCATTTTCACCATAACCTTCCATTTCACCTTAGTTTGACTGTTTGACCTATATATAAAAACATTACAACCTGTGATTTATGACTTAAAATTTAAGTGAATCTATGTTGACTTAATCTTTCTGCATGTAACCACAATATTTGTTTAGCAAATTGTGACCTTAAACAGACTAGAATATTTTTTTTTATTTTGAAAAAGAGCCAGTTTTTATCAATGAATGAAAAATTCAAACACTCCCAAAAATAGTGTCATTCAAGTTTAAATAGAATAAAATACCAGGTTAATTCATGCACACAGCTAGCTACAACCTATCATCTTACATATAGTAGTAAAGTTGTAAAGATGTATATTTTAACGTTTAATGGTACAATTTTATATATCAGTTCCTTTTAATAATTCAGGAAATAAACTGTGAAAAAAAAAGATTTTTTTTAAAATTCAGGACATAAACTGTGAAAAACTGTTTTTTAAAAACTAAATTGCCACAAATAAAAGCAGCCCCGGTCAGTGACCTCATAGTCTAGATTCATGCTATTGTGAAAATTTATAAATTATTCAAATTCATTCTAGCCAGCATTTGAGTCCAACTAATTGTAGTCCAAGTGGTGGTATTGAGTTTCAGGGCATTTTTTGTCAAAATTGTAAAGGGGCCTGGGCCTGTTCATTTTGTGAAAAAAGTGCGATGTGTCATAAATTTGTGGAAAAAAAAGACAAATTATTTGGCATTCTGCGGTTTTTTGAAACCGGAAACAGTTTGCTTTGAACGTTTGATAATAATTTCTGACCTATGTAAAATCTGCTTTAAGTTGGTACGTTAACCCGGTTTACAAGCGAAAAAATCGTTTGACTTGATTAAAACTATTTCTGTGTTATAGCATTTGGTGTAAATCAAATTTTATCGCAAGGTAAATGTATTTCGAAGACAAAGTCCCAATATTTTGTGAAATCTCTTTAGAAATTGTGATTTTTTTCCGCTGCTTTGTGAAAAAGAAGTGCAATTTTGAATTGTGAAGGGGCCTTATATCGGCCCCTGTTATAGAAGAAAAAAAAGCCCTGGAGTTTTGTGTGCAGTCTGCATGGCTCATACAAAATTACATGTATCTCAGAATCTGCTGAAGACAACATACACTACTCTGACTACAATTCTAAGCTAGTATAATCCATTACCAATCAATATAAATTACCTTAATATGTCAAATAATGCAAAAATAGCCCAATATTATAATACCATTAGGAAGCAGGATGATATTATATATAAACAAATGAATTCTGGAAAATTTTACATATTATTATAACTTATAGCACAAGGTCGTCATAAATAAAAAATTCTCAAACTATTGACAGGGCTTTTTTTCACAGGTTGGGTAAGCAGCCCAGCCCTTAATTTTGGGGAAAAATTACATGGTATATTTGCAAAAGGGGAAGTAAAAACTTGATGTAAATTCAATTTTGGGGGAAAACTGCATGATTTTAAAGAAATTTTCTTTGGGGAAGCAGCCCTATACCGGCCCCTGTTATAGAAGGTAAAAAGGCCCTGATTGATGATTTTTTTTTCTTTGAAAATTTGAACTGTGTTGACTAAATTTGCTATTCTACAGATATGCAACTCTAAAAACAGACCAGCCCTGGGTTAAACAGAAATCTTTAAGCCTTACCTGCATTGTAAATTTATTAAGCGATCTTGTCCATCTTTCAATCTAGACATTCAAACCAGTCATCTTTACAGTGGGAAATTCCAATATAATTATATAATTATGTATTATACTAACTGGAAAGCATGATGCCAGCAAACTCATTCTACCCATACATCTAGTGCAGACCAAGATCAGACTGCAAATTTGTGCTGTCTGATCATGGTCTGCACTGTTCACTTTTCAATCATAATATTTATTTTGGGATTCTCCCTAAAATTGATGGAATGGATTTTCTTTGGATTGAAAGATGGACAAGTCCATTTAAGATATTTAAGCATGTTATGGGTTAACTGAAAATGTTAAATTTCTGCATAATATCCTTCTTATAAATACATTTCTGTACAAAAATACAGCGTGAAACAATGATCTATAGAACCATCTAGTGTCCTTTTAACCTCACTATTCCGTCAGGAAAGCTGTGACTCTTCAATCAATAAACCAAACCTGTCCATTTCGAATAAAAACGTCATCTCAAAATGCATGCCAATACTTTAATCAAGCAAAGCACCTAGGAATGAAAAAAACAACAACAACCAAATAATCATGAAAATTTTGATTATGGAGGTAAACCTACCTGGAAACATGATTTATTCACTCCTACACTCACAATATAATCAGATATGCCTTCCTGATAATCCTATACACTAGTTTATGTTTTTCTCCCCCTACACTCACTATAATAAAGTATTTACTGTGAGAAAACACTAACAGACTTGGAATTCCAGCACACTACTCTCTATCTAGTATTATCAGCCAAACACATCTTGCAGGCAGAATTTCTACACTAGCTTCTATTTCTGTACCATCATTAATATCTGTTTTAACAATTTTGTATATATATATTAATTCTGCTTCAAGGTCAGGATGTTCACTTTATCTTTGTAGAACAAATTTTGAAGAAATTATAAACCATTTCCCTGTTACACAGACTGTAGCTATTCTATTGTTCAGCTATGACCTTTCTTTGGCCTTGGTTGTAATATTTTTTTGCAAGGAAACAATGATAACTATGAATCTGTGAAATAGCATACAGCAGACATGCATCTGTAATTCTTTTACAAAATATTACCTGAAGAAACAGCTGTTCTTCCATTTATAATAATTTACCGTATTATCCCTAATAATACAACCTAGCTATTGTTTTTTTTTTGCCTTTTTTTTTTCGCAACCTGAAGTCCTTCTTATGTGGGATATTAAAACATTTACATGGAATTAGGGAAATTTAATAAACTTTATTAAAACTTTCAGCATGCCCATTTGCGAACATGGCAAAGTGCATAATTTATGCACAAATTTGTTCATGCACGCATAAAAATTTGAAGGCAGTGGGGTACATGCATGCAAAGTAATAGCATCAGAACAATCAAATTTAAATGAATGTTTTGGAAAGTTTAACTTTTATACATGAATAATAATTTAATTAACAACAGGAATATATAAATGACCCTAACATTACTCACCTGAATAAAGATTGCAAGTACTACCATGACTGCTTGCTTGGGCTTAGAGCGAGAACAGTATGAACTTTATAATTCACAAATAAACAAAACAACAAAGACCTTTAAATTCTACATAAGGATAGAGTTACGCACGGATCATTGATGCCGTTGAGAATTGAGTACTGCTCAAGCCGGCATGAGGGATGTTGCACATATTCATTATCCTTCATGTACAGACTCAAT